GTTTTAAGGCCATACACTTGTGCAATAGTGTAGAGAACCGGGAAAAGTATCAGTTGGCTAAAAACGAGACAAAGAGAGCAGTGAGCGAACTACGTACTAAAGCTTATGAAGGGTTTTATCAGGAGTTAGGAACAAAGACGGGAGAAAGAAATATTTACAAGATCGCGAAGCAAAGAGAGAGGAAAAAGAGAGATCTGGATCAAGTAAAGTGTATAAAGGATGAAGATGGTAAAGTGTTAGTTACTGATGGTGATATTAAGGATAGATGGGAGGCTTACTTTTACAAGTTGTTTAATGAGGGAAGCAATTATGCGACTCAGGACTTGCAGGACTTGCTAATTAACGAAGATGATCGGAATTTGGCTTTCTACTGCAGGATACGTATCGGAGAGGTTAAGGTGGCTCTCAAGAAAATGGACAATGGAAAAGCCGTTGGACCTGATGGTATCCCTATTGAAGTTTGGAAATGTTTGGGCGATAAGGGGGAGGTGTGGCTAACCAAGCTTTTTAATGAAATTTTACGCTCTAAAAATATGCCGGATGAGTGGAGGAAAAGCATTTTAGTTCCTATTTACAAGAATAAAGGAGACATTCAAAACTGTGCCAACTTCAGAGGGATAAAACTTATGAGTCATACAATGAAATTGTGGGAAAAAGTGATGGAATATAGGTTGAGGTTGGAGACTTCTATTTCGGAAAACCAATTTGGATTTATGCCAGGGAGATCCACATTGGAAGCAACCTATTTACTAAAGGGGTTAATGGAAAGATATAGAAGTAAAAGAAGAGATTTACTTATGGTTTTTATTGACCTGAAAAAGGCTTATGATCGTGTGCCAAGAGAAGTATTGTGGAAGGCTTTGGAAAAGAAAGGTGTACGGGTTGCGTATATCAAAGTCATACAAGATATGTATAAGGCGGTAACTACCAGTGTAAGGACGCCTGGGGGGGAGACAAAGGACTTCCCTATTAAGATTGGCCTACATCAGGGATCCTTTCTGAGTCCGTACTTGTTCAACATTGTTCTGGATGTTCTAACTGAACCTGTTCAAGAAAGAATCCCTAAGTCCATGCTCTTCGCGGATGATATAGTTCTTATGGCAGAATCAAAAGAAGAGATTAACACTAGTTTGGAGTTATGGAGAAGGACTTTGGAGTCGAAGGGTTTCCGTTTGAGCAGGAACAAAACAGAATATATGCATCGTGATTTTGGAGGGAGGCAAGGTAATAGGGATTTGGAAGTGAGGATGGGAGAGCAAATTATTCCTCAAGTATCAAAGTTTAAGTACCTAGGATCCATTATACAGGAGGATGGGGAAATTGAGGGAGACATTTCTCATAGAATACAAGCTGGCTGGTTAAAGTGGAGGAAAGCTACCGGAGTTATTTGCAATAAGAAGGTACTTGAGAAACTTAAAGGAAAATTTTAGCGGACTGCTATAAGACCAGCTATGATGTATGGTAGTGAATGTTGGGTAATAAAGGGAAAACAAGAGCACAAAGTCGGAGTAGCAGAAATGAGGATGTTGAGATGGATGTGTGGTTATACAAGAAAAGATAGGATTCGAAATGAAAAGATCAGGACAAGAGTCGGTGTGGCACCTATCCAAGAGAAAATGGTTGAAAATCGGTTAAGATGGTTTGGACATGTGTAGAGAAGGCCTTTGGAGGCCCCGGTGAGGAGGGTGGATCAAACAAGATGGAGTCCCATAAAAAGAGGCAGGGGAAGACCGAGAAGAACGCTGAATGAGGTTATTGAACGAGACCTCCTAATCAACAACATATCTAAGGATTGGGTTGTTGACAGAGCACGATGGCGTCGTGTGATTCATGTAGCCGACCCCACCTAGTGGGATAAGGCTTGTTGTTGTCTGAAGCTTGAATTTGTCTTACAAAGATGTCTTCTGTTTCCTTTCATGCCTCATTTGAAATTGCATATGTAGCTTATCTGCAAAAATGATTCTTGTGATTTTAAAAAGATGTCATTGGTTTGGTCTTTGAACTTGTAGTGTAACGTTCTTATATGAGGCTCATGTATCATTTGATGCCCAATCTTAATGTGCACTAATGTAATTATAAGGGTCAACTTTTACTTTTCAACTTAGCCTCTCCATGTCTTTGCTTCTTTATAGATCCCTTGCATATATGCTGTATATTTCTCCTTGGGAAAATTTCTCATGGTTGTGCACTTGTAAAGATTGATGATCGCTGCATCATTTGGTACATGATTTTGGTGCTTATTTACTAGTATAGGAAAACTGGGATCAATTCAAAGGCAACTTGACATGCAAAGCTTCCTTGATCTTTCTTGCATGTCTCGTGATTAGAGATGAAAATAGGTTAGGATTACAGGCTGCGCCGGTGAGCTCGGGTTGGCATTTTGCTAGCTTGTCAAGGTGGAGGATACTCTAGCCCACACTGTTTTTGACCCGCTACACCGCTAGCTTGCTTTTTTTTATTTTTTATAACTTATTCATGAAATTCCCAATATATTGTGTAATATAGTTGGAAGATTTTAACCCTCAAATTTCACATGGACATTGCCTCATTTATAGCTTTGCAAATGTAATTAAGCACTTTAAAGAGCATCGTTTATCTTTTATTTTCATCTATTTGTTGTTACCCTATACATCTTTATAAAATTAAATATACATGTGGTGCTCATATATACACACACATAAAAGATCTACTTAATTAATTTGGATAAAAAACTAGTTAAATTAATTATTTAAAAAATATGTTAGTTTTTCTAAAATATTTTTAAATTATAAATTAATCTTCATATTATTTTATTAAAACTCATTACTTAAGTTCAAAACTCCAAGTCTAATTTTAGTATTTGAAAATCCAAATCCATACCAATAATAATAGCTTTGTCTGGGGAAAAAAATATTTAGACGGGCTAGCGAGTCAACTTTGTGAAGGTACAGGCTATTTCAGCCCACATTATCATGGGCTGGCCCATCCTATCAAATAGCCTATGACCTAGTTTGATCAAGGCCCAGGTCAAGCTTTTTAAACAGCAAAATTAGGCATATTTCTAGGCAAAAGAAAAAGACTGGGCCTAATTTTTTAGGCTTGACTATATTAAGGTTTTTTAATATTGCTTGATTTAACTTAATGTTAAATGAATGAAAAATGAATCTAAGCTATATGTAATTTTAGCACTCATTAGTAAGCTTAATTGTCCAAGAAGGATTCAATGCATGTAATTTTAAATTCAGAATCAAAATGTGATGTGTTCTATGTACAGACCTTAAAAAGAATAGTTGTGCTCCACAAAGATTGGTTTCTTGAAGGAGGTGGAACATGATTATATATCATTTATGACTTTGAAAAGGAGAGGGTGAATTAGGTAGACACATCAATAAGATTGTAATAGAGGTATGTGGCATTGGCACTGAAAATTAGACGCTCCAAATTTTTACAATTTGCCTTTAATATACAATTTATCAACGCCCCTGTCATATATTATAGCAGTAGATCGGTCAATTAACTTGTCATTTTTAACAAACATGAACAATCCTTCAGATGTTAAAGGAGTGGGAGTCAAAACAGAGAATTTCGCTTCTTTGATGATATCCTATAAAGCATCAATACTTTAACTTTTTGATGTATCATAAGCCATATGTGTCTATTACCTGACACGTTCATATATTTTGTTGATATATATTGGAAAAGTATCAAAATATATTTTTCACTTGGACAAAATTTTAATTTTCCATGTATATACATATATATCCAACACTTATCAAGGTCAATTTTTGTAGCAATACTTCAAGACATTTTTTATTAGAAGTTAAAATATATCCAAGCATATATTACATTTACTTAATAATGAATATTATCATTGTTGGAAAAAAAATAATGAGTATATAATACATCTCCGGTTCTAAATATAAAATCTATTTTGTACTGTAATTTACTCTATAAAGTGAATCTTATATTTATGACCGGAGTAATATTAAATTTTATTATTTTTGGTAATATTTTCTTATCAATAAAAGAAGCAAGTTGAATCGTAGAAGAGCTAACACGGCTTATGTTCATATTAATTTGTGAGATGTGTTAGAAGAGTTTTTAATGTAAGAGTTAGAGAAATAATTTAAAAAAATTAATTAAATTAATCAGTTATAATAAATGAGTATTATTTTTCTTAAAATAACAGCTACATTAAAATTTGAATGAAATTTTTTTAATATATATAATTAAAGGATTATTTAAGAAGAAATGGAATATTAAAGAGAGTCAATTGGACTCTCCTCTCAAAAAGTTCCAAGGATTGGATTGATTTGTACATTCCACTTGTACAAATACATATTAAGAGTGCTACTATTTCCGGTCTTTAATATAAGACCCTATTTGATTTTTAGTTTGGTCCTAATTATAAGACCCCAATCTATTTTGTCTCTTATATTTATGAATTTTTTTCCAAGATAGTCCTTCTAATAATAATAGTTCTAACTAACACACTTAATTAGCAAGGATATTTTAGGAATGACAATACTTATTTGTTACAAATAACTAACTTAACTTACTTTCTTAATCTCCTCAAATTAGTCAATTGGATCTTATAATTAGGACCGGAGGTAGTATTATTTTTGGGCTCAAAGCACTCAATTTTCTTTCTTTTTTTCTTTCTTTTTGGAGAAGGAATCCATTTTCAGTTTTTCACCTTTTCAATAAAAATGTAGTTGAGCTTCCTGGACGGAGAAACCGAAGTCTTCCCGCATCATTTGCAGGAGCAAGCAGCAGACTTCAACCAACTCTTTGTCCCTCATCTTCTTCCTCACTCATTCCGCTGCCTCACGATACTCACCGAAGAAGCGTGCGAGTATTTTGAAGCTCAAGAAAAGCTTCCCCTTTCACCGTCGGATTCATACTAAATTTTCTTGGAAAAAAATGATTCAGCATTCGATATTGATAAAACCTTCTTCTGTCTCATTCCCGACCCCATTTCAAAGAGTCCCCAAATGTTGCAACTTGTATAATAACCCTTACCTTCATTAATTCGTTGTGAAGCGGCGGATTCATCATTGTCGTCGTCTAAGATTGGTGGGGAACGAGCGTCATTGTCGTCAACGACGACGTCGCTTCCAGAGATGGCAAAGTTGATGGAATCGGAGAAGAAGAGCGGGTCGTACCCTGGTGGGATGGGCCGGTACACCGGAAGAGACCCGAATGTAAAGAAGCCAGCGTGGTTGAGGCAGAGAGCTCCTCAAGGTGATCGGTTTGAAGAGATTAAGAAATCGCTGTCCCATTTGAAACTTAACACGGTCTGTGAGGAGGCTCAGTGCCCGAATATTGGAGAGGTTCAATGCTAATTGCTCTCATTTTATTCAATTATCCTTGCTCGTTTTTCCAGTTCAATTTCATATCTTCTAGCTTTTCTCTACTTAAGCACTAGAAAGAGGAAAATTCTCAAAATTGATTAATGACTGATAAGGACTGATTTGATCAGCAGAGTCGTAGTAGGCGAGCGAAAGTTTTATTTATGTATTTATTTTTTTGGGAACTTCTATTGAAGTATATTATTGAGTTGAGTTGATTCCTTATATATTTAAGCAATGTTTACAAAATTTGATCCTGCACTAGCTTACTCATTCATTTGAGAATTGTAAGCAACTCAATGGTGAAAAATGACTCTGTAAATTGCTTCATCATTTGGGCAGCGTAAGAAATTGATATATTATGAAATTGCATTACTTCAGGACAAAACATGTTATTTTCTCTGCGTTTTGTTTTAAGCAATATGATATCAAGGAATGAAATCAAGACAGAACACACGTGCACACATATTAAATGTAATAAATACTTATATTAAATGTTTTAGGTTAGTGTTTTTAAGGGTAAAAATAATGTTATTGACATTTGAATTCTAATGGATAGTGTTGGAATGGAGGGGGGGATGGTATAGCAACAGCAACAATCATGCTTCTGGGAGATACTTGCACCCGTGGGTGTAGATTTTGTGCTGTGAAGACCAGTAGAAATCCGGCGCCACCTGATCCAATGGAACCAGAAAATACTGCCAAGGCCATTGCAAGCTGGGGGTGTGTAATGATTAATGAAATGCGTTTTCATTTTCCCTTTTAAACTTTTATTTTCTTAACTAACATCCTGGTCATATCACAACTAAACATAATCCCGACTAGTCTAGGTGATGGTGTGTATGCATCTGTTGTCTGTATTTTACCACAGCAATATGCTTGAGAGGGAAAGAAGTAGCACTTAGTTTTACTTGGTGCATTTGTCTGAAATCAAATGCTTGAATTTAGAGGGATAAGCTATAGATTTGTTGTTGAATGGTATTGTTTTTGTTGCTTTTTTTTTTTAACACCCAGACTATGGTTCTTTAAGGCTGTCTTTTACAGATAAGGTATTAGAGAGCTTTATTACGAGCCCCCTCCCCCTGCTGTGTTTCATTGTTGTGCTTTTGCTAAGTGGTTTTTGTTGATGAGATTTTGTCTTATCTTTCCCTCCTTTTTATTTATGTGCCTTTTTTCCTCTTTCTTATAAAATTTCTTTTACAGAAATATACAATAAGTGCAAATATAATGTGAGAGCGTGCAAGGAGCTTTCTAACACAATAAGAACGAACATATTTGTCCCTATATTTGACTAATTTTTCAAATGTAAGATTATTGCGAACCGTCATAGGTGCAGCATTTTCAGGTTGATGAAATGTGTAGTTTTTTGACCGGGGATTTGTTTTCTTAATAGCTTTGGTTCCTGTGGCTGTAGCTTGACATGGGTGTTTTAATCTTGATATCGTTTTTGTATGGGAAACTGTCATCAATTTTAAATGACCTAAATTTCTGTGTAGAGTGACTGGAACACACAGATATCCTCATTTGCATATGTTCAGTTATATTGATCTCTTCCATGTAGCCTAATGACTGCTAGATGCCTGTCATAATCTTTATATCTTTTATGCTGATAGGCAAGCGTTTCTGATCTAAGAAATCATTTGGTAGGGTTTGTTCCTTCAGCACAGGTGTATATAGAACACTAATTAAATTTTCATAAAATCCTGTAGTTTTTGAAATCTTATAGAGCTCACACCTTTGTGCTAATGCATTTCCTATCAACTCATGTACATCTACTAAGATTATTGTAGTCTTTATATGAATTTTACAAGATGTACTTCCTTGTTAATTACAAGTTTCCAACTTTTTCAGTGTAGATTATATTGTCCTAACAAGTGTAGATCGTGATGACATACCTGATGGAGGAAGTGGACATTTTGCTCAGACTGTCAAAGCTATGAAGGTTCATTAATATTTTGGATTGTTGGTTTGAAATGCATTTTAACATTTATTGCAAACAGATACAAAATTGTTTCTATGCTTGTTTTTGCAGAAGTTGAAACCAGAGATCATGATTGAGTGTTTAACATCTGATTTCCGGGGTGACTTGAAGGCTGTAGAGACTCTGGTTCACTCAGGCTTAGATGTCTTCGCTCACAACATTGAAACAGTGAAACGGCTTCAAAGAATTGTTAGAGATCCCAGGGCTGGGTGAGTTGCATTGCTGATCTAATCCAATTATTTTGTCGTACAAAATAAGAAAATCAACCATTTTTATTTGTTGTGGAAAAATACCAACGACAAGTACATCCTTGGAATTGGCTGAGATATGGATCTATGTGATATGCACCTGAATCTCTAAACTATACTCCCAAATTGATTTGGCCAAAACATTTCCTATCTGATTCTGAGCAAATGCTCTAAACTGGTTTGGAAAGTTTTGGAATGTGTGAAAGTAATTTTCATGTGTGTTAAAATGTCTCAGAAATCTAAAAATTACCGTGAATTATATCAAAGCCTGAATAAAAGTACTGAAACCTGTTCGACTTTTAGGCTTGTTTTGCTTCTGAAAAATGTTTGACTCTTAGGCTTGGGCAAGTGATGCATGATTTAAGGCGTAAACAATCTTTTCTCATGGGCTTGTTTTGCTTCATTCTGAATTATCGCTTGCTTGGTCCCATCTCTTATGCAGGTATGAACAAAGCTTGTCAGTTCTAAAACATGCAAAACATAGCAAGGAGGGCATGATAACAAAAACTTCTATAATGCTGGGCCTAGGAGAGTCCGATGATGAGGTGAAGGAAGCTATGGCTGATTTAAGGTCTATTGATGTTGATATTCTGACGCTCGGTCAGTATTTGCAGGTGCATTGATGTAAAAATACATTGGTTCTGTCTGTCCCAGCCGGCTAAAAACATTAGAAATTGGATCTTAAATTTCTTTCCAATCTTGAAGCTCCTGGAATTACCATAACATGTTCTGAGTTATATACAATTTGCGCAATGTACAATTGTCGTGGCTGACATTACAAATTGTTACTTTTCTTTTTAATTCAAAATATGTTCTCATTGCAGCCGACTCCATTGCACTTGACTGTCAAAGAGTATGTCAGTCCTGAGAAATTTGCTTTCTGGAGAGAATATGGGGAATCTATTGGTTTCCGATATGTAGCCAGTGGACCTCTGGTAAGCTCATCACCAATGCAATAAAATTCTAATCTAGCATTCTCTTTTTTCGTGACTTGTATACGTGATCATTCTTGATCTATTTTGGGACTAGATGACAAACCATTGACAAATGGACTAAGTGTACTTTGTACTTTCAACAGATTGTCCTAGATAGGCCACGATCAATAAGCAGTGCTATATCCATCTGTATATATACGTATATGGGCTGGATTAGGTTTGGCCCAAAGTCCAATAAGGTTTTAGTTGTTGATCTCAAATCTGTGTTGATTTATTAGAAATAGTTTTTTCTATATAGTGGTGAAACAGAAAGTAAAGAATGAATATAATATAAAATTTAAATAGCGAAAAAATTATATATTTTTGGGTCAAACCAACTTGGACTTATAGTGCATAGACCTAACACTAATCCAAATGTTAGGTTCAAGCCTAGCTCTGCTGTGCAGGGCAGAGTATACATATGGACCAACCTAACTCAAGAGTCCCTGTTTGTAAATATGTAATCATCTCATCTTCATTATCGACTAATGAGATCCTTACTTGAAATCCCTTATCGTGTGTCAGGTGCGGTCTTCATACAGGGCCGGGGAGCTGTTTGTGCAGACAATGGTGAGAGAGAGGACAAAGAATGCTAATGGCTCGGCCTTGTAACTTAGGGCTCTGTGATTTGGAAGCTGAGCAGCAACGAAGAGATTGCCACATACGTATTGGTGTTGAATGCTTAGGCCAATGATTAGGGTATCTACTTTTATTGTTAATTAGATAATCGTATTAATTTCCGTGAGAAATTCTGCGATTATTTCATATTTTATGGGTATATTTATTCATTATATGCTGGAAACACAGAATGATCACGATAGCTGATGATTATTCTTTCAATGTTAATGAGTGAAACACTGTAGGCTATAGAACTTTTTTCCTTTTGCCATCAATTATAGGCTATAGAACTTGATTATTTGTTGATTGTCTAAAGCTAAGGACTGTAGAGTAATATCGTTTGCAGGGCAGGGTTTTGGTACTGATCTTCATGAAACTTATTGGTTTCACAGGTCTTATATGTACATCCGCAAATAAATTTTTATGCAAGTTCCTTTAGAGATGCAAGTGGATAGCCCATAACCATGTAAAGAAGACTATGTATAGTTAAAGACTCAATAAAATCAATCATTAGTTTTTAGGAAGCTTATGAAAAATGGTAGAATTTGACAGATATGGTTTGCTTTGGACAAGTAATTTTTGAAAAATTTATTCTGTTTGGAATTATAATTTGTCACCTTTGTGGGTTTCATGCTTAGATTACACAAGACAGTACCTAAGAGACACCCGCATGGCACTCGTCACTCGAGTATGGCTTAACTTGTGCAACTTATGGGTCAACGTTTTAGTTTACATTAAAATTTTTAAAATTTGGTAATAACTTTCTTTAAAACTTTATCATTGCCTTTAAAATTTGAGAGTAATTTTCAGTTATTGGAAATGGTTATAGTTAGTGGAGTTTTCATTTGATAAATGTGTTGCACAATTTGTAAATGACAAAGTGTACTATATGTTTTATAATTTACATTGATTATTGATGTTGATTTTTAAGATCTTTTAACATAAATTTTGTCAAGGTGGATGTGTCAAATGCTAAGATAAAGTAAAACTACGCATTTTCAGTTTTTCACGGCATTGCTCACCTTGCTGATGCTGAGTAAAAACTGCCCCTGAAGCGTAAGTTAATTGGTGCCAGTAGGAATGTTGGATCTAACAATGTACTAGTATTGATACTCGCTTATGAATAGAGAAGTAAAAGAGACAAACATTAAACATATTTTAACAACAATAAAAACTTCTGTATAGATTGCAAAAAAAAAAAAAAACTGTAAGAATTGAATATTTGTAGTGGATTGCACGTGGGAGGGAGGAGAAAGTACTGTTTTTGTTAAGATATTTTGAATTGCTTTCTCTCGTTAACTATATTTTGAATCATTTAATACCTGAAATTATTTGTTGGGATGCAATAGGAGACATGACATTGACATTTTGAATTGATGCAATGCCTTTATTTACCTCTCATTTTTTTCCCCTCGACATGTCTCTCAAGCCTATTTTAAAATCTTGTCAGATCAAGGAATCTTCCTGTTCCCTTCATAGTTTTACACAGTGACCATTATTTCAAGCATAATCTTGCAATACATGACAAAGCATAATGCTTATAATAGTCTTTAATACACCACATTGATATTTCATATTTCATACTTTTTATTTATATTAAAATATATCAATGTACAGTAAAATTTAGGGAAAATCTCAAAAAAATGATAGCTGAATTTCAAAATTCCAAATCAGTATTAGTTACTACACTTATAAAGAAAATGACTCCATTCAAAGAGCAAATGACAATTTTTATAGTAATTTCTGATTTGGCATTTTAAAATTCAGTAATCACTTTTTTTAGATTTTTTCTAAAATTTATAACAACAACTAGTACTTTTTTTAGCCTGATGAGTTAAAAAGTCTTCTCTTAAATTTATGTAGTGCCAAAAATGATCATCATCCAATATTGGAACCAGTTAGAAAGGAATTATTTTCTCAAATATACTTGAAGTACGGGTGTGTTTGGATGAAACCAAACCGTGGTTTGGAAAAGTGATTCTGGAGAATAGATTCTGTGAAAAATAGATTTTGAGAAAAAGTGATTCTGAGAAGTAAGAGTGTTTGGATAGTTATTACCAGAAACACTTTTTACATGTGAAAATTACCAAAAAGGGTATAAGTTAATATGATAATTATATAAGGGATAGATTTTATGATATATTTTGATTTGAAGAAATAAAATTGTTAATGAAAATTTTTTTACTAACATAATTAATAATATATAAGATAATATAATTAATACATAATTAATATGTGTACATATATTTATAAAACATAATATTAAATATGTTTATAGAAAAATGATTTTTTTTTTTGCTAACAGAAAAATATTAATTTTCTTTAAAGATTTTAAACGTGAAATGAATATAACTAGCTTCACGTTATTATTTTTTTTTTTTGAATTTCTAAGCAGAGTTATTCTTGTGGTTTGTGCCTGGTTTATTCTCCCAAGCCCAGGCTTAGGGACGAAGGAATGAACGAAAACATTTGCTTTTATTGAACACCGTGGACTCGTTTTGTGTGGATGGTGTTGTGTGGACCGACGGGGAGAAGGCGTGAACAAAGAGATGAAGAAGAGCAATTATTGAATACCGAATAATTGGAGCCTTTCGTCATTTGTGGAGGGGCTCACCGTTCGTTTCAACAATTGGACCCGAGAAGCAGATGAGAGATGCTGCTGTCCAAACTATGGTTTCACCGGTTAAAACCATGGTTTTACCTAAACCAATGTTTGTTTAATTTGTCTGGCTGTTTGGATGGCATTTTGTGCAAATCATGGTTTGGACTTCCAAACCAAGGTTTGGAATGTCATCCAAACATCTTTGGAAAAAAAGGAGTCGACTTTTGCAACTACTTTGATACTTGATTTTCACATCAAATTCATTACTCAAACTAACAAGCAATTAATACTCTTTCTTCTTTATCACTTTGAATACATTTCCCTCCACCAAATTCCTAATAATTTCAAGCACTAAAGAATAAAGATAAAGATATCTCTCGATTGGTCCCGGGGATGCCAATGTGATAGGTGTGCTTTAAGCAATATTAAAATCAATTCAAAAGAGAAGGGAACAACTCAATCTGAGTTGAGTTGGTACATCTAGTTATAGCCCCTCTTTGGCTCTTTCTTGCAATCCAAACAAACAGTTCCTCTCACTATAGTCTATAAGTAGATTCATTCCCCAATAATTGATGCACTAATCAACCAGTAGTCGTCTCAGCTCAGTTTGAATCACCATCTTTGTGAGCCAAAACTTGTATTTCTTTCACGGGCCATCTTCAAATTGCCGACACTAGCAATGAAGATTACGGCTCTGTTAGTTCTTTTCCTGCTTCAATTCATTGTTGCTTTTGGTTCTGACTCAGATCCAGTCATGGATTTCTGCTTGCCCATTTCACCATCCAACCCCTTCTCCTGCAAAAACGCATCTTTAGCCACAGTCCACGACTTCACATTTTCCGGAATAAAGTTTCCCGGCAACTTCAAGGAATCTGGGTTTTCTGCCACGGCTGTGAATTCCAAGCTCTTTCCAGGTCTCAACACTCTCGGAATGTCGTTCGTGCGTGCCGATTTCGATGTTGGAGGCGTCAATGTGCCTCATTTCCATCCTAGGGCAACGGAAATCGCGTACGTGCTTGAAGGTAAGGTTTATTCTGGATTCATTGACACGAACAATAAGATTTTCGCGAAAGTAATTGAGAAAGGAGAGGTCATGGTGTTCCCAAGGGGTCTGCTTCATTTCCAGATGAACGTCGGAGATTCGCCGGCGGCTATCCTGGGCAGCTTCGATAGCCAGAATCCTGGGTTGCAGAAGATCCCTAGTGCAGTTTTTGGATCTGGAATCAAGATGGAGCTTCTGGAAAAGGCTTTTGGGTTGAACCCCAAGGAGCTTTACAAGTTAAGGAAAAGGTTTTCTTCTAGCTGATTTGCGTAGCCACGCATCAATTCTTCACACAAACACACGGAAACAGAAATGTGTATTGAATTAAAAAATAATCATGAAGTGTTGTGTGAATCTGAAATCTGAAAGTATAAGGTAAGTGTTGTTGCTTCCTAGAGATATTATAATATAATCTGTTCATTATTTTGATGGAAGCCAGAGAGGGAAAAACAAAAGAGAAGTTGCTTCAGGAATGATTATCTGAATCTTATACAGTAGAAGATATGTTTCATAGCAATTCTTGATAATGATTATTTGTAAAAGAGCTCACCAGAGGAAGTATATTTGAATGTTTGTATGCCATTCAAAATTTCAAATAATTTGATCTCGCTGCATTGCGAAGTTACCATAACTGTCTTCCACTTCCAAACTGGTCCTTCCTTTTTGTGTTTGTGTTGGGTGGAAGATGATCATTTGCCTTCTGAATAACAGGACAGAGCAAGGCTTTTTTAAAGTCAGACGGATGGAGGGAGAGAGATGGATATTTTAAACTATAAAATAATAGCAGTGGTAATAATAATATCTCACCCCAAAAAAGTAGTAATAGTAGTAGTAGTAATAATAAATTTATGTTTGGAAAAATTAATCTGTGCTTTTTTATTTCACTTAACTTTTAATCAAATTCTTGCATTTTTTTTTAATTAGATTATTGTAGTTTTGCTTGGTTAGATTCCAATAGTTTGTTTATTTTTATCATATCTTATTATCCTTATAGTTACACATGATTTTTAATCACGTGCTGTAGTTTTTTTAGGCGTTACTTGAAAACTACAAAAACTTTATTAAAAATCAAGTGAAACCATAGATATGATATAAATTATGGAGAAAATTAGATAAAATTATAGGGACTTGATAGAAAAACTACAAAAGTCTTATTAAAAATCACGTGAATGAAACTATTGGAACATGCAGATTTTTCCCTTTTAAGTTTTGCATGATTCTAGATTTCTAGTCATAACTAAATTTAAGAAAATGATTGACATTAAGACCAATTAATTAGTAAACCCAATTTGTGATTCTAGTTTACGGGGGTGTTTGGGAATTAGGAGAAGTGCTTTTTAAAATTATTTTTCCGTAAATCGAAATAAACTCCTTCACATATATACTTCGTATATTGTAAAATCACTTCTAAAATCACGGTTTGATTTCTATCCAAATACCCTCTACATCTAGCCATGTCAATTTGTGATTCTAGTAATTGGGCTGTACTTATGTTATTGAGAGTCTCCCATAATCTGCCCTTGAATCAAATTCACACTTCAATAATTTGGAGAATTTGAAATATCATGCTAATGCTATGAATGTGCCTTAATCGAGAACATGATTTCGGGGGCCCAAAAAAAAAAAAAAAAAGACAACATCATTTCAAGGGGGTTGGCAACTGCTCTAAAAGCTATTGTGGTGAATGATACTATTTTGTTTGCTGGACATGTGGTTGTTGCAATCATTTGACTGACTTTATAGTCTCCCATGCGCATCTTGGTGCCATTTCTTTGTTTGGAGGACCAAACTAACCGTGATCTTAGGCGTCATCAACTTCAAAAAGTAATTGATTGACTCTTCTCTTTTATTCGTTTTCTTTGATTCTCTTTCACCAATCAAATGCTCATTTTCAACCCTTCTTTTCTTTTCCTTTTCACTCCCAAAAAAAAAAATGGTTAACAAAGACTTGCCAAGGATATATTGCTTTTTTCAATGTTAATTTGTGTACGAAACTCACTTTTTTATATGCAATTTTCTTTTCTTTTAAATCTCTCTTACTTTTAAAACATTTCACAAGCTTGTAACTTATGATAAATAAATCCACCACTCTACTTACATCACACTCATGAAGATATATGAAATGTAACATTTGCTTCAAAATGACAAGAGAAGATACTTTGGCAGCTTATGAAAATTAGATTGAAAAATCCAAGCATATTGTTATCCATATGATAACATTAACTAGAAATAGAAAACCCAAATCAGCCATGTACCAGCAAGAGCAGACCAACCTTGAGAGGCTCTAGCTAGATGATAAAGACAAATCCTGACCTGGAGTAGTTGAATTGTACCGGTTAAACTTAAAAACCACAGAAAAGCTAGACCACAGTTAGAGCATTGCATTCAACATCTCATTCCAAATATCAGGAACCCCAGGGAGGCACCAGTGGCTGCAATCGGAGGAAACTCCTTCTAGTTTCTGCTTCTGTTCTTGGGTTATCAACTTTCTGTAAATTGAAGGATGCCCATCTCTTCGGAAAGCTGTCATTGTTGTAATATCCTGAAGATATACTGGAAAACTCATTCTCTTCAACACTCCTTGTAGAACTAAAAGTGGTTCAGGAACATGCTGGTGACTGAAAAATGGCAGAGGCTGCTTCTGGTTGTAGCATTTCCATCCGTTTTGCCTGCACATGAAAAATCCATGATCCAGAAAAGCAGAGTACAGCAAATATTGGAATCATTTTGCACGTCTGACACTCCCACCAAGTATAATACGATAGTTTTAATTGTATCTGGACAGTGCCATGATATTTATATATACATATATATATATAGGAAAATAATGCGCGTGAAGATGCAACGTAAACTATACGCAGTTTTACTTTTGGTGTTATTTTTTGAATGGATGATGTAAATTATCCGATTTGTATTCTATTCGAGTTGTGTCTGTGATCTTTAACAGGAAAGAGATGATCAAGGTGAAATATGAGGCAAATGAGAGTAACTCGTACCTGTTATGCCTTGGGGACATGCTTCGGAAAATGACTCGGGTCTTACGAGGATCAAGGTTTAAATCCACCCATTTTGCCCATGTACTGAGTCCTTTCTGATAAGCAACCATGGGGTTCATGTTTCGAATCAAACTGTTTCCTTCCATGTAATAATCCCATCTGATTATGTCAAAAAAGATTTGATTATTGGGATGTTGAATTTGGCGACCATTCAAGGTGAAGAAGTTGAAGAGACCAATGTTTATAGATAACTGAAGCTGAACTTAAGGAAAGAAAACTTGAGAAGCAGAATTCAATGGGAAAATTGAGATTATGAGAAAGCTTTCTTACGCGCTAGTTTGATCAGAGTGAGTCCACCAATGAGCTGAATCAAACACGAGAACATCAGCTCCTTTCCAATATCTTGCATTCTCTTCAATCAAGTCCAAATGCAAAATTCTCTTTTTTCCAGCCCCTCGTTTGAGTTCTACCAACAATGGTGCCCAGAAGAACTCAATTGAAGTCTCAAAATCCTGTCGGTGAGAATTACAGGATCAATCACTTATAGTACTAGAGAGGAAAAAGAGAATGTTTGATCGATGTCTTACCATAGCATGGAAAGCCATTGAAGGACCATTGTAGGTTACCCTCTTCCTAGCAGTTGGAATAACTCCTTGTACTAAGCAAACAAGAGATTCCCATTGGTTTCTCATGATAGAATCACCCACCAGCATTATTCTCTTCCTTCTCATTTTAGCAAGAAACCTCAATGCCTCAAATCTGTGTTACCAAGATGCCACATTTGTAAGTTAGACATTAGCATGAAACTGATTTACAGCCTTGTATTTTCACGAGATTCCCATGTCTCAACCAGAAGCTTTGAACACAGATAATTAGAGGGAAAAAATGAGAATTATGAGCTTTGATCCTCCCAACCTCTGCAAACTAAAACCGAGTTGCTACAGGTTTCTCCATTTCTTCTTATTGTCAACTCTCGATCAAATACCAAAATATATAGCAATTAGATTGTACACTATGCTAAAAGTTTTGAGCAATGGCTGAATTTTCAGACAAACTAGCAAAGCAGCAACAATGCAACTGTTCAATCGAGCATTTAAGCAAACAGTTATAGTGATGTGAACAGAAAGATACCTTGGGATAGAACAACCGTTTGGCTTCCACTTCCACTTCTCATAACCCGAATCAGACGTCCGTTCTTCTGACAAGTAACGGCAGTGCTCAGATAGGGACAGCTAGAATCGTAGAGAGGATAAGATTGATCGTAAACCCATTTTCCCACGGAGAAGTCACATTTTTTCTTCCATAAATCTCCACGGGTCTGGACAATGTTGATGTCGTCGGCTTGGACGGCGAGGCCAGGTTCATGATCCTCTGGGTTAAGAAGCAGTAATGCGGAGGGGAAGAAGCTGAGGAAGATGATACTGAAGAAGAAAAATGAGGAGTGAAGAGCTCGTTCCGCCATGGAAGGACAAGTTGAGAAAGCAAAGAGTGTGAAGGGTCCCAAAGAAGAGAAGGCTTTTGTAACAAAACATGATTTTGTTGTGAAGAAGAAAAAGTGCTTCATCAAGCCATGACTTACGGCTGTGGACCACCTTTTTTCTTCCTTTTTCTTCTTGCCCCTCTTCCGGTGATTGATTTCCTTAACTGCTTTGTGTCTTCTTTTTCTTCATGCAGCTAACAAATCCAAATTTATTTCTCTGATCCTCTCATCTTTTCTCCGTCCCGTCCTCCCTTTTTTCTACATGCAACGTATGACCGTATAGCTACATTGAACCGGACAAATCCACTCCAAGTCAAACACATACGAGGAGTACAATGACATTTTCGACCGGGTTCCCATGATGCAGATACATGGCCAGTGATTCTCTCCTTTTCGCTTTTCCAGTTTTTTCCAAGTGTGTTCAACTTCACAACCATTCTTTTATCATGTTAAGTATTTACTATTTTGTCGCTGAAAATATGTATAAGATAATCCGAATATGTTTTATTGGAAAAAGAAAGATCTTGTTAACTCGTCTTAACATTCAATAAATTTTCAATTTTACTCCAATTTAATTTTTTTTTTTGGAGAAAATTGCAAACTATAAAATAATAGATGATTGATATAATTTTTAGTTCCTCAATTTTGCCTTTATTTTGGTTTTAGTTCCTCAAATTTCAAACTATAGTTTTCGATCTCTTAAAAAGCAAAAAGTCCAAGTTTTTATTAGATTATAGGAACTAATATTTAAATGAAAAGAAACTTAAGAGACTAAAACTTATGGTTGAAAACTTGAGGAGTTAAAACCGAAATAAGAATAAACTTGAAGAACCAAAGTTTATATTAATCCAATAATAAATTAAGAGTAAAATTATATATTTATATAATAAATTTAACAAAGTGACTTATATTAAGGGGAAAAGAACACTCTCTATATCTATATCTGATCAGGGGAGTATATAGGAATATTACTCATGAAAAAAGTGAATCTTCTCACACAATTGTATATCATGATTTGAACTGGAGGCCATTAGTTAAAACAAGCATTTATTATTGTTAGCTAAGCTGCTTGCTAATTAGTTGCTACTATCATTTCTCTCCAGGGCTATTGCAGTTTGATAATTCTTAATTTCTTTTATATATAGCTTACGCATGGAGATTATATGTCACACTTGTGATTTAGAAATATGTAGAGTTTTACATTTTATTTCCTTAGTCCTAAATATAAGATTCATTTTATAATATATAAAAAAATATAAAATTTATTTTATAGTGTAATTTACAGTATAAAATAAAACGAGCGTATTTGATTAGCTATGAAAAGAAATAACGATGCCCTCCACAATCAAATCAAAGCTAAATAATATGTCTCTAGTTAAAGCATCATTACTGTTAGGACCCCTAAAATTAGGCACTATTAGCGTCAAATATATTATAGAAGTCATCCTTTCACATTCCGTGGTTCCTTTTTCATTCATGCATGACATTATTGTTTCACTTTGATTCGCATAAACTAATACGGTGCCAAGTCACCAAACACCTATAGGATCAAAGACAACTGAAAGCTCGCCAAGGAGATGATGGATCAATCCAATCCAGGAAAATGGGCCTTCAAAACCCTCATTTTTTTGGCCCAAATAAGCTCTTCAAATCAAGCCTCAAATTTTATAGTTGGGTTTGAATCGCCTTAGACTTCAATCAAATATATACGGAGCAATGAATTTGAGTCTCATAGAATAGGCTAATATTTCACAAGGTAACAAATTAAGATTCAAATCTTTATTATAAGAGGTGCTTATATTTAGTACTTAATAGTATCTTAAACAAAACCTTCTATGATAAAAGGATACATGTGCCTGAAAAAAAAAAAAAAGTATACAGAATGTGCATTATTCATGTGTCAAGCTTAAGCGGGATGCGTCAACAAATTAAATAAATGTTTATGAGAACTTCTACCAAGTTATACTCTTCTAATTTTAAATATAAGATTCATTTTGTAATGTAATTTACATATAAAATAGGTTTTATATTTAGAATTAAAAGATTATTATTTAATATTCATAATATGTGTCCAATGCAACTTAACATACACACTCATATTAATTCGAAGTTTAAATACAAATTATAAATTAATTCATATTATTTTGTAGATTTTGAATGATGTGTACCGTTACTAGAAATAGTATCTCTGATTTTTGTTGTGATTTTTTCTGTGGTTTAGGTTCAAACTTACAAGCTAATAAGTCAATCATGTTGTTAAGATGCTAATTCACTTAGGTGTTAAGAATGTGAGGTAAGTTGAGTAACCGACATTCATAAGGTACCATTAGGAATTTGGGAGAATGCTTCGAATGCGATTTTCTCATATCAGTGAATAAATTTCAGGCAAAAGGTTAGGTTAACTCTATCAAGGGCAAAATACCTGTCAATCACACATGACCCAACATTGTAGTTTAAGGGGGGTATTTGGATAGAAACTAAACTATAATTTAAAAAATGCTTTTACAGTATACAAAGTAAATATGTGAAGGAATTTGTCTCGTTTTATAAAAAAAACACTTTTGGATGCTTCCAAATAACCCCATAAATTGAGAGCTTTTAAAGTGGTTCACTTGATATGAAACATCTCTTTAATTCGTGGTAACGAGAAATCAAACATTTTTCCTAACAAATTGGAGGAACCTATTCTTATGACTGAACTCGCAACGATCAAGGTTCTCTTGTAATAATAGTATTAACATGCATATATGAGAACAAACTGTTTGATGCCTATGAATATAGTGAACATGAAATGGAAAGGCACACAAAATACACCAGTTTCCATGTTACCGATTCCATAACAACATCCATAGAAAGATAGACCCCAAACCTTTTCATCCAACTATAAATGAGGTAGAAAGACTATTATATCCCCGCTCAATCAATCTCCCAGAGAAAAACAAAGGGGATAATTTAGTCATTTCACTTTAATTCGGCCCCAGTCATCTTCTTTTTCCATCATATTAAACATAAACATGCACGCAACTTAACTAACGGGGGTCGTATTAATGGCTCTTGTGGTCCTTCCCAATTTGTTTCATACTTGTTGGAGTTTAATGTAATTATCAAATTAATATATATATACTCCTCCGATGCTTCATATAAGATCTAACTGTTGAGTTGATTTTGATCATAAATATAAGATATATTTATCAATTTTTTCTAAATTATCCTTGTAAATACTACTTTAACAATAATCAAATAGAAAAAGAAGGAAGGATATTAAAAAAGATGATTATAGTATTTTAAGAAAAACATGTTATATTTTTTATAATTAATTAACTTATCTAACTTCTTTAATCTAATCAAATTAGTTAAATATGTCTTATATTAAGAACTGAAGAAGTATATATATATGTGTGTGTGTGGACCAAAGATATCCTTTAGATTAATGGCACGAGCTCCACCTTCTGCTTGCTCTCATTTTTTAAAGTAGGTTCTTCTTGTACAGATGTACCCGCGTGTGTCACGCGCAATACAAATTGTACTCTTGTTATTCCTCATCTACCTATCATTTCGTAGTTTGGTCGCTACAATTAATAATTTAAACTGCTCTTGTAAGTCATATCTACCTTTGTTATGTTTTTCCTTACTGTCATTAATGTTCTTCTTATCTTCAGCTTTTGATCCAAAACATTGCCACCAGTAATACTCAATTTAATTCAGAGGAAAATTGATCAGCAAAAGTCTCTAGTTAAAAAAATTAATTACGCAAAAATACTTTATGAACGAAGTTCTTGAACGATTATAACTCAATTTTTGTGTGCAATATATTCTTAACTGTATGTAAATGTTTTTCATTCTGAATGTAATTGAAAATATGTTGTACGTGAGTCTTTAAATAAATTCTTGATATATTTGCACAATTAATTTTATTATCAGGGATTTTTTTTGCTAATTTTACCTTTAATTTATCAGCTTATTTAATTTAATTCATATTCTTATGAGCGGACAATATATTACCTAAAAATTCTATAAAAGAATATTAAAAAAATACTTATTAAATTTTAAAATAGTAAATAAGTGATTTTGACAGATTTTAACTTAATAAAATTATTATAAAAGAAGTCAAAATTATTATAAAATAATTGTAACCTTAACAGTTATTTTTTTAATTATTTTTTTAAAAATCTGTCAGTTTTTTATTTTTTCTTTTGCCGTCTATCGCTTTCTCAGTTATTAATGGAACCTCCCTCTCACCTTTCCCATGTCAGCGTCATCTCTGATTTGGCAACGCCGGTCCCACTTTTAACGACGCGGGCCTGCGTGAATCTTAAATATGAATATTTTTTTAGAAAATTATAATGAGTTTTCAAAATAATTACTAAAAAACCCACTAACAACCTAAATAATTTATAATGATAAGTTTGAGAGTCAAAAATGATAATTTTTTAGATTTAACTTGTAATTTTTTCATAGTTTTTTGTCCTTCAAATTTATATTCATTTTAATTTTGATTTTTTAAATTTTAAATTATAAGTTTTGATTTTCTAAATTTTTTATTTAAAATATTAATCTTTATAATTTAATAAAACCTTAGACTATTTTTGTTTTTGAAGGACTAAAATATATAATTTGAGAATTGAGGAATCAAAAACAAAATAAAAACAAATTTGAGAATTGAGGAATCAAAAACAAAATAAAAACAAATTTGAGAATTGAGGAATCAAAAACAAAATAAAAACAAATTTAAGAAACGAAAAATTATGTTAATCCAAAATAGTTATATAAAGTTCAAGGGGGAAAAAAACATACAAATAATATATTTTAGAGCTATTTTGCTAGTCTACTTTAAAAAAAAGAAGAGGTAAATATGAAAATTAAAATAAATTAAAATCATATATTTAGTTTGTTAAATTAACTCTTATATTAAAGATCAGATATAATATATTTTTAAAACCAAATTAAAAAAGAATCATGTTAGGATGTTTAATTATTGATTTATTTTTGAAAAACTTATATTCCACGTTAGTATATATTCCAGAAAATTTGTTAGGAAAATCCTTTAAAAGACATTTAAATAATCTAAATTCTTATTTAGATCATTAAATTTGTTAAATTCCTAATCAAATTATATGATTGAAAAAGTGATTTTAAAATCTTATGAAATGACTCTAATATTTTTTTTTTGGAAATCAAAAGGGAATTCTTAATTGACATATTTCATTTTATTATTATTGTGTTTTAGTTCTAAATTGATAATTTTCTATCTCCATGACACTTTCACATTATAACCTGAAAAATTAATAAGTTCAATTGTATAGTTAACAAGTTTCAACTCTAAATTAATAGTTTCATGTCTCCAAAACACAGTTGCAATAAGTTTTAGAATAAAACTTGATCGCAATATAATTTCAAAAATTAATGTTTCATTTTACAGTTAACATATTTTAATTTTAAATTCACAACTTTTTGTCTCCATAACACACTTGTAATAAGTCACAACCTTGAAAACTAACATGTTCCATTTTACAGTTAAACATGTTTCAATTCTAAATTAACAACTTTCCACCCCTATAATACACTAGTGATAAGCTTTTGAATAAAACTTTATTATGATAAAACATTGAAAATTAACATGTTCAATTTCATAGATAACATGTTTTAATTCTAAATTAATAACTTTTTGTTATGATGAAATTATTAGGATTTAAAAAGGAAGATTTAATATAACTAATTCATTGTTGCTTTTTTCAATGATTTTCTAGCTTTATAATGGCAGGCACCAAGTTTTCTTTGTGTAGAGTTTTTTCACAACACGGTGATGATAAAAAATGTTCATCACTCTAGGTTTTTAGTGAAAGAAATATTAGAATCATTTTATAAAATTTTAAAATCTCTCCGAGTTGGGTGACTTAATTAGAGATTTGATAAATTCAATGACTCATATAAAAATTTAGATTATTTAAGTATTTTTTTAGAAGGTTTTTCCAAATTTGTTTATATTATAACATTTTGAGTTATTCAAAAAAATAATACTCCTCTAGTCTTTAATATAATACCTATTTAACTAATTTGATTAGATTAAAGAAGTTAAGTAAGTTAGTTAATTATAAGAAATGTGACATGTTTTTCCTAAAATACCATAATCATCTTTCTTAATACCCATCTCCCTCTTCTATTTAATTATGGTTGAGGGAGTGAATATCCATAGAGGTAATTTAGAGAAAATTGATAAATATGATAAATAAGTCTTATATTTACTTATTTAGGATCAAAACCAACTCAACAATTAGGTTCTATATTAAGGAGAGAATGAGTATTAATTAATGCTTTCACGAGCGGAGGGGAAAAAAAGAAAAAAATCTGAATGCATGCCAAACAGGTTGCTGAAGAACGCTGAAAGCACTAAAACAGCGTCAACGACGAGCGGAGTGACCAGCAGCAGGGAAGCTCTCTTCATCATTTCTGCTATATAAGCCTTCCAACTTCTACCTTCAACTTCGCTCCCTTCACTTGCTATCGCTTATCAGATTCAGATCCCTCACAATTATTCCCATCTCTTCTTCTTCTTCTTCTTCTTCGTCCATCATTTTCTTCTTCTTTTCTGCTGTTTTCTCTGCCATTTGATATGCCCGGCAAAAACATACTGATTTCTCGGATTTAGATTTTTTTTTTCATTTAAAAGTTTGAGTGCATATCTTTTAGTGCTTGAATTTTTTTACTGGATTTTTGTGGAGATGGAAATGGCGGGTGAGTCGCAGAATTGGGTACTGATGGTCACTGCCCAGACTCCAACCAACATTGCTGTCATCAAGTACTGGGGAAAGAGAGATGAAACCCTAATCTTGCCTGTCAATGACAGTATCAGTGTTACGCTTGACCCCAATCATCTCTGCACCACCACTACTGTTGCTGTCAGTCCCAGCTTCCTGCAAGATCGTATGTGGCTCAATGGCAAGGTAAAATTGGACTTGTGCTGATTTGTGTTTGCTGCGTTTTCTGCCCTCTCTTCTTTTATTCACTTCCATAAGTTTCAATGGAAGAGAAGATTTAATACTGCGAATGAGATTTTCATCTGCTGGGCCGGAGGGAACGAACGACTTCCCCGTCTTCTGTAGGCTCATGAAGTTAAGTTTAGGTTGCATAGAGCTAAGCATATTATAATCATACTTTAGTGCCTATTATCTTGGGATCGAACTAGATCAGGCTAGTTGTTGTAAGAAAATTTCACTATCCCTCCTCCTATGCTGAGAGGGTAACTTAAATTCCAAACGTCACTGTACTTTGGTGCCAGTGTCACGGTTCAAATGTTTTTTTTTTTATACTGTTCAAACGGATTTTTAGTAGTCGATTTACTGAGTAATCATTCATGACGAGCTGCAACTTCGAGTAAAGCGTACTTCTAGGCGTCGTTAAGTATGTAGTTTTTGGTTCCAATCAATGTGATGCAAAGGCAAGTTGTAAAGCATTTATTCTCTTCATTTCGGTGACTCTGGCAAGTTTAACTCAATATCGATTTGTTGCCAACCCTTTTTTTTTTTTTTGGAGAAAAAACCGAGAATGTTGCTTCAATTCTATCTTGTAAACATCTTTAGAATGTTACGGATGCAGATCCCCATTTATTTTCCTCCCCATCGAAGGGGACTTTTTTTGGTCTAAATATCATTTTTGATACTATATATAACTAAGGAGATGAGAAATGATTATTACTTCAAGAATACTTAGGAAGTTGTAGTACAATCGTAAAGAATGCTCTTACCACTGATATTTACTGATAATGTTCTCTATTTCAATGTTACTTTCATACTCCTAAAAATTCTAAGTCAACGAGAACTGCTTATTTCAATTTGTTTATGCCCTGCAATGTCTAGTTTAATGATAATTAAAAGGCTAGTGAATTTGATCTCAAATGACGAGAAAACAGAGGAGACTTTTAGGTATGCAACTTTCTGGCTTATAGAATTAGATCTGTAATTAAAGTATTGATTCAACTTATTTTCCCCCTGTTTGTTATTTGGCTGATTCGTTGCATTTGGTTTTACTGGTTGGTGCAGGAGATTTCTCTTTCTGGAGGCAGATACCAGAACTGTTTAAAAGAGATCCGCAATCGTGCTTGTGATGTTGAGGATAAGAAAAAGGGTATTAAGATCTTGAAAGAGGACTGGGCCAAATTGCATCTACACATTGCTTCATACAACAACTTCCCCACTGCAGCTGGGCTGGCCTCTTCTGCTGCTGGCTTTGCCTGTCTTGGTAGTACCCATGTTCTTCTAAAAAAAATATGAATTGCCTTTCTTTCATGAAAAAGTTGTGACCGTAAAGTGGATTACATTAGTTTCCTGGACTTGTATACAGTAATGTCTTCATTCAGGTTCCATATTCAAACGAGATTTTGACATTATACAACTAGTCAGTTTTCCAAACCCAGGGTGTTTCACAAGGTGCATGGGTCAATCCATTGAATATGGTTGGATTTATTTGGTAGTATAAGATCTAAACATGTCATAATGTTGATTGTGGAAATCCTGATTAACACGTCAAAATTCAAAACCTTGAAAATATGAGTGTTCCTCTCTGACCAGAAAAGCCATAGAATCTCAAACTGTACACAGCTACAAAGTTTTGTTATCGTTCATCTTACCAAAACCTACAGAGTGAATTTGGGGAAACTGATCCCAAGGGGCAGCACGCTCTGAATTTCTACACGAATGCCAGAATCACTGCCGGCTAAGGAAGGAATAAGTGGGGAAATCTTCTAACTTGAACCTTCATACTCACGTCGGGAGAAAAACCATATGGAAGAATCAAATCTGCAACATGTCATTAGTGTTCATGCAATTAAATATTGTGGTCCCAACATGGTACTTTACCTCAGAAGGAGCTTTGAAATTCTGAATGGGCTCATTGTCATGCCATTAGGGCTGAGCATTTTGACATGATTGTTAATTGAGTAAAGTTTGGGCTGAGCTATATATTTTATAAGTATTTTACCTTGATTTGAATAATTGATCTACCAATACAAATTGCCACTGTGAGCAATGATCTTGGTGCATTAGTATCAGGCTAAATATTTGTAATGGGGCGTCACAGTGATGCAAATGTCTTATGCAGTTTTTGCACTTGCGAAGCTTATGAATGTCAAAGAAGATCAAAGCCATCTATCTGCTATTGCAAGGTCTTGCTTATGTCAACGATTTAAGAATTGCAAGTTATTAGAAGCTTGGTTTCAAAATCTAGCGTTTAGATAAATATTTAGTTGCAATTTTGGAAATTGTTGTTGCATGTAGGCAAGGCTCAGGTAGTGCGTGCCGCAGTTTATATGGTGGATTTGTCAAGTGGATAATGGGAAAAGTAAGTTTATTCTACTCCCTGATGATTGCTGCAGTTTTTTTTTCCTTTAAAAATAATATGGACCAATATCATTTGACAATTCAATTTGTGATTCTCATTCTTTTGACATTTGAAGGAGGAGAATGGAAGTGATAGTCTTGCGGTTCAACTTGCTGATGAAAAGCACTGGGATGATATTGTTATTGTTATTGCTGTGGTACGCGCCTATTTTATTCTTCATTTGATTGAAGAGATGAATTTACTGTTGAGTGGGCACTATTTATATCTTTTGGTAAAAATGCAATGTTCTGGTGGTTTCTTAAGGGAGAGCCTCTGGATTGTGAGAACTTCATATTCAACTTGGAACTCTATGTGCACCCTGGATCAAGTCCCATATACCTTTCATTTTGTTGACATTTTGTTATTGGTTTCTAGGTTAGTTCACGGCAGAAGGAAACCAGTAGCACCTCTGGAATGCGTGAGAGCGTCCAAACTAGTCTGCTTTTACAACATAGAGCAAAGGTAAGTCACTTCCTCGCATAGCATGAGTCTTTCTTCAACCATGATACCCCAGCCTTCTTTGCCCTAGAGGCAGGGATGCCTGTTTTTATACATAAAAATAATATTCTCCTTAGTTTCTAAAATCCAGCATAATATGTTTGTAGTTATTCAAAAACTTCTTTTCCGCATGTGAAGTTACCTGATCTTTGGCTTTAATTATATAAACAGCTGTCTCTTGGTATTTTAATATGGATGATTCTTTATATTTGTCATTTGAACTGGAATAGGAAATAGTGCCAAAGCGCGTACTGCAAATGGAAGAAGCCATTAAAAATCGTGATTTTGCATCTTTTGTGCAACTGACCTGTGCCGATAGTAACCAGTTTCATGCAGTCTGCCTGGATACGTCTCCTCCAATATTCTACATGAATGATACATCACACAGGTAATTTCAATAATGCTGACGTATAGATAGTTTTATTATATCTATTTATTCACCAGGTGTAGCATTATTCTTGTTTCTTAAAATTTATTATGCATTACTTAATTACACTTCAGGATTATCAGCATCGTTGAAAAGTGGAACCGCTCAGAAGAAATGCCCCAGGTTTGTAATATCCTTTCTTGGAAAATTTTTGAATTACCAGTTATGCTAAAATATAGACCGCCTGTTTGTAATTTTCATTATTTTTAAGGCGTATAACCCGAGCACTCGTGAGTGAAAAGACTCACTATTTTATCCCACTCGAAATTCCTTTGTAGGCAAAACCGAAATCTTTTATATAATAGCAAAGGTAAAGAAATGAAACCGGAAGTTTTTCCCATCTTCAGTCTTGCGGCACTTGAGTTGCTTCGTACTGATTGTCGATACTAGCCCAAAAAGTGAACATCAGGTTGTGAAGCACGGGGAATCAAGTTATATTTGGAGCTTGAATAAATCTATTTTCTCTCTTTCATTCAGTTTTCAAGTATTGCCTCTTCATTTTTGTTCCATAATTCAGTTTCCTGTGACTTCATGCCTTCATGTGAAATTTATGAATAAACATATTTTAGTAGTCTGCTGCTCTCCTCACTTGTTTTACTTCTGGCGTTCATGTGTTGCACACAAAGACGCAGATAAGTATCTTTGCATATAATTTATTCAAGCCTTTTTATCTAATATTAGCGACTGGTCTTCACTCCCAGGTAGCTTATACATTTGATGCGGGGCCAAATGCGGTCTTAATTGCACGCAATAGGCAAGCTGCTGCCCTTTTAATTCAGAGGCTGCTTTACTACTTCCCCCCAAGTTCAGATGACCTTGACAGGTATTTTCTGTCAAAGTTTTGCAGGCTGCATGCATGCTGAACTATAGTTGATCCCAATCATGAGATTTCTGATGTCTTCTTTACCCTGGAAATCTTTCTTCATGCAGTTACGTTATTGGAGATAAGTCAATTTTACAAGATGCTGGGCTATCAGGAATGAAGGACGTAGAGGATTTGCCAGCACCTCCTGAAATTAAGGATAATATTCCATCACAAAAATACAAGGGGGATGTCAGTTACTTCATCTGTACAAGACCCGGAAGAGGACCTGTTGAGCTTCCTGATGAAAGTCAGGCTCTTCTCAACAGTGAAGATGGACTCCCCAAGTGAATTTGTCGGTAGTTTTCCCATGTTTGGCCACTTTCTGATCGCATTTCGTTTACAGACTCTTATTACTTGAAACATGTTCTCTAGGTTGTCCATGGTCCTAAGGACCATTATCTGTTCTTTCCCAATTTTCATTTTGTGTCGTTTATTTATGCTTCTGTAATCGTTTCCAAGTATAGTGAGGCTATTTTCTTGGAGATAAACAAGTTTTGGTCATTTTTAGTATGGAATTATACTTGAAAGAGGGAGTCTCAATAAATGCCCCTTTATGACTATAGGGGAATTTTCGCACGTTTGAGTATCTGAAGCATGAATTCTCTTTACACGTGGAGGGCAAAAGGAAGCACAGGTTGACTGTATGGGCAGCAAACACACTTTCCTTTGCAAAGTCCCAACCTGTATGTCGCAGACGACAAGGTTACCAAGTTGGCTCTGTCATCGCATTGAGAGCATCATACGATGACAAGAACAAGACTCATCTGTTCGAGACTCACTTGGTCAAATAGTAAGGATCCTACAACAGTTTAATATCTAAACCTTTAGTTCAGAAAAACACCTTTTCCAAACGCAATAACGGCACCAGATCCATAGTTATATTCCTAAGGAGTTTGGCCTACTAATGATAGATATGGCTGCAGTCCCATTGGTCCGTGAATGATGCAGGCAATGCATAACCAAGGCTACAAAAGCCATTCCCCCTTGCACAAATGCATATATGCATCGGTTCGAACCATTAAATCAATGCTATGATTTGTCAGCATGTCCAATTTGAAGGCACTGAAACCAACTAGTCCACACTCGCATTGTTAATACTCACCTTTTTCACGTTGGAAGAACTCTAGAAGTATGATAACATAAGAATAGAGAAGGCAATCTATGGTGGTGAAAGAAAAATAACACAAATATGAATCTACTAACTTGATAAAAGCACGAGGCCCTTTGACCATATGCTGGGCTGAAGATTGAACTTCGCCAATTTGTTGAAGCGCCTAATGTTTCATAGAACTCAATGGGAGACGAAACACCAAGAAAAATTTTTGAATATCCTTGATACTAATTCCCAAATGTTATTAAAATGTAGCCCCATGCGCTCCCCAAGAAAGGAACCACACTTTTCTCGATTATGACCAGCATTTTCACTACTTGGCCCCTTTGATGCTGTTGGAATTGCCTTTTGAACGCCAGAAGTTTATCAGAAAAGAGTCCATAATAATCTATAGAAAGAATTGAGTTAGCATGAGAAATGAGAGATCAGAAAAATCTTACAGAGAAAACAGCAATAACCTGGTTTAGATGTGCTGCAACACAAGGAAGAATCAATAACCCAGATTCACCCAGTGCCCCGCCAAGTGGTTCTATTACTGCCACCATTACTGGTAGTGTTTTCTGAAAGGAATGACAATTTATAATGTTACATAGGCTATAACAGCAGGAATATTCAAATGACAAACTTTTCCAGAAGAGTAAGCCTCCTATCTCATGATTTGATCCTTAGTTCCTACGTACTCTGACAAATTGACAGGAAAACAGATTTAGTTTTTCACCTGACTTGCAATTAGTATAAAAGCAATGGCATTTTCTTCCCGGGAAAACACTGATTTACTACCACCAGTGATGGCTGAAACACTTCGCACAGCAATGGTATTGAATAATAGTAAGCTCAGATGGAGGAGTCTGCAAGGCATCAAGATATCAAATTCTCAAGTGGAAAGCTTTTGTTCGAACTGCAATGCTTAACGGAATTAATACGAATTATCTACTTTGGACTCGCAACAAACAATCATCAATTTTTGTACTTTGAATATGTTTTTTAGAATAGACTTTCGACATCTTTTATGTGCATTGGGTTTGACCAGCCAGTTTGCGTCACATTATATGATAATTTCCTTGTGTTCATCTTCAGTCTTTACTTCCCATCAATACAACAATTCTTCTATCAAAGACGGATATGGAAACTGCTTATGGTTATGTCACATAGTTTTGCCTCCTTTTAATCATCACTCCAAAAAATGAGAGTAACATTTCAATATACAAAATAAATAACTCTTGAAGAGTCAAAATACAAAAATATGGAAACGCAAACATAACTGCTAATTCAACTTCTTGTTTCAGTATTTATTCTAATACTGTTTGATACGATGGACGATGCCTAAAGTGAGTATGTGACATTAGAAGTTAAAATGAGAAATTCATCAGAAGGCAAGAAACTTCATCAATGAAAACCTTGATAATCAATCAATCGATAATGAACATTATAATTTTATCCATGAATTATATAAATGGACAGAATAAGGCAGCTAGCACAGAACAGTACCAAAGCACTCAAATCTGGATTAGGTAATAGTGCTGGACACGAGATAGTTGTAACATAAATATGCAATTATTACAATGCTATCTTTGAAATGGCCACTCGAGTGCACCCTCTCTAAGGATGCTTTGACACTTCGTATTCCTTATTTAATAGTAAACGATCATCAAAATCAGTTACTGTATGCCATAAGTTTTATCTTCTTTCTTTCGCTCCACCCTTTTAATAAGATACAAACCCTAGGATAAGACAACCATCTGAACCATGACCTCACCCCCACTCTGCATTAATCTAGTTATTATTATGGTATCTCTTAGAGTCCACCCTACCCAAGGATATTTGTCTCAATTTATATAACCTTGGTATAAATCATTTGTCACCAATAATTATAGGCCTCCTCATTCTGAAAATCTGTCACTAACTTCTTTCTTTAAGAATTAATTTTTTTAATTAGGCATTTATTTGGATTCATTAGGCATTGATGTGTAGAGGCTCCTGCCTATGCATAAATATCCATCGTTCTTGTGAATAGATCATGAAGAAAAGCATAACAAGTCTTCAATTTTCATAATAAATGTTGCAATGAAACTGAATGAAAAGTGGAAGCTAATAATAAGGCATTCCCAGTATTAGAGCGAGTAGCATCGCGAGAGGTGAAAAGATAAAGGTGTATAGAACATACGTTCCCAGTCCAATTGCCACTAGGAAAACTCTGGGTTTCACCATTAACAACAGTGACCTAGACCTGCTCACTTGTATCCATGGCACCTGCATGGCATTGAATTCAACAATAAATTGCCTATAAACATCAAAGGTTGAAAAGAGCCAAAGGAAATAACTCAAAATCGATCTGAAAACCATTTCAGGAGACCTTTGAAATTAAAGCTCTCCAAACAATTGTAACGTGCATGGAATATACTCCCCATATGTGGAGGAGTACAGCTTCAAATCAAAACTTGACAATTAGGGAATCTAACCAAACATCTGCACGTTGTTGTAGGATTGGAGAGACTGAAGCTTGGGACTCTTTCAAAAAATTGATTTTGGAAAACAGAAAAATTAATTCATGATTCATCATTGCATGACTGACTGGCATTGTAATTTTTTCTGGCAGAAAATTCAACCAAAAAAAAAAAAGTTCCAAAATTTAGAGATGTTAAAGAAAACACAAAGTACACGGTTTTCCCCTGAAAATAAATGACATTCAACTTAAGAAACAAGGGGACAAGAAACAGACTTGCAAGTCTCATCTAAATCAACACTAGAAGTTGTCATTAGTGCAACTCTAATTTAATCAAATTGAATAGGGGCAAGAGATCTCAGACAGCTTGGTTGCCAAAATGATGATAATTCAGGTAATAAGGTAGGGAGTGAAACGGAATTTGAACAAATTGTTTGAGAATGAAGAATCAGCAAAACTCAACTTTTGATAATAGACTTTTTCTCTTTTTACTGTTGGCGAGAGAGGTAAAACAAGAAACCTTTTAATTACCAAGAGAAGAGAATATGCAGAGTTAAGGAATAAGAATTCCTCAAGGAGAATCGATGAGATGTATCTCTTGCATTCTTGAAATTAATATTCCGAACAGAACAAAATTTAAAGAACCCAAAAGCTAATCACTCTTTACACCAACTTGAAGCAAGGAAATGAATTTAAACTGCGTAGGTAATGGCCTTACTAAGCTAAGAAAAAACGCATTGATCCCCGAGAAAAGCTTACGGTTTTGGTCAACAAAGTCAGCTACACCTGCGTACGGATTATTTCCATGAAAAAACTAATTTTAATATATGAAGTTTACTTTATTGCTCAGAAATTTCAGAAAAATAACAACGCAAAATTAGAAAAGACTCCAATATTTCTGTTCATCTAGCCAAGAAACATCCAGAACAACCTGTGACAAAAGCAAATGCAAAAACTTCTGACCAAGGAGAAACTAATACAGTGTTGTTTCTTTTACAGATAAATGAGACATACACAGTGGAAATTTTATTAAATATAATCACTTCTCCTATCTCTTTCAACATGTATCTATGAAACTTTCCCGCATTCCTGATACTGAAAACAGAGTACATTTTAAATGACCAAACAACTATGACAATAGCAACAACTTAATTGGAGCACAAATTCATTGATATTACATGAGATCCCCTATCAAAATCATATCATATTTCAACACCCTGTTGCCCTTTAAACGAATATTTTCATCATATATATGGAGGGTGGACAAAGGCAGGAAACTGCATATCTAACACGCGCGCGCGCACACATATTAGTAGGATGCACAAAGGAAGGTAACAGCCATATGTACAAAATGTTTAAATACTCAGCATGCTACAATCATCACACATCTTTCTGCGAGAAAGATATTCTTCATGTTAAAGCTGTTCAAGAAATATATTACTGTTCAAACGCGTGAAACTTTGCGAGAAAATTATCTAGGAGCAAGTTACTTAACAAATGAATATTACGTACTGCTTGTGCTTTAAATCCTTTAAGAAACCTGCAGTCCTATTTCATTGTCATAACCGACCTTATTCTTTTTGTAATAGTGAGGTTCAGTTTGCTCGATTCCATCTCCCATAACATTATTAAACAGATAAACAGCTGAAACAAGCTTAGGCAATGTCACACACCTTTAAAAGATTCACGTACAACCTGACCACACAAAGGAATAAAGAAATGTTAAAATAATTTTAGGGAGTTAATTACAACACAATGATGCTAGTAGTCTTCTTCACAGAACGAACTAAAATGTAAGACCAACAAGTGGATATAGCCACCACGGCATATACACATTTGAACACAAACTGGCCATTTTTTTTACCAAAAAAAAAAAAAATTGAGATGCAATCAAGACAGAAATATAAATCAGTTGGGGAATGTCAAGTGTCAATTTTTATAGGACAGCCTTTATTGTTTCTTACTGTCATGAACTAATAGAAGAACTTTAAAGTAGAAGCAAATGAGACACATTTTTATTGAACATTGGTCATCATAGAAGGACCACATTAAAATATGACATGATGGGATAAGTACATTAATTCAAGAAATCAAAAGGTAAACTTATGATGCAATAATTTGTAGGCAATGCCAGTTAATCATTACAACTACCAAAAATCATCATCAAAATAAGTTCAATATCTTGAAACATTCTAATAATGGAAATTAAACCTCTCACAAAGCCTAAGTATATAAAATATGTCTTCTTAGTCTGAACCATGTGAATATGTGAAAATCCAAATAATAGAATTATTCTATCAAAGCTCCATGAAGGAGAAAACAAATTACCTTCCCTAAACTTAGGGGAACTAATATGGTCAGAAGAAGACTTTTCAACAAATTATCAGTAGGTACAGTTACTCCAACTCCATCAGCTACAAACTTTGTGATGGAAAGTGGGACCTAGGAAGAAGATGAAACTTTAGCATAGAATGCAATAAGAAGCACAATAAATAGATCAAATGGACAAAAGATTGAAGAGCCAGAAGAGTAAAAAAGAGGAATAAGGATTAAGGAATAAAATCTCAATATCTCAATATCTCAATAGAAGTCAAAAGCAAATTAAACGGGAGATGAGGAGAAAAGCCTGCATATCACATATAATCGAGTTTTGCTGAAATTACACAAATATCCCTTCTATTTTTAAAATATACACAAACCTCCCTAAAACAAAAATTATCTAGCATTTTAGTCCAATAGAGATGCCGAATTAGCTAGCAAGACTTTCAAAGTTCTGGGGCCTATGATACATTGTTGAAAGACATAAATATGCCATTGGCAGTAAGAAAACCCAGTTGGAGCAACATGTTTGTTCTCGTGAAATCTAGAAAACAGTACAAAAACTAGAGGATAAAATTAGAAGAAATGCTATCCAACTCTTACTGACTCACAATAAATATTCCTAGCATATTAGATATTACTGTCATTGCAAGAGCCAGAGCAGAGTTTCCCCCAGCAACCTGCAGAAGCAAAATGGAAAAACTCAACAAAAAGTAAATCCCAGATCCATATCTCTAGGGACGAGGCAAATAACAACTAATAAGAAGACAAAGGTAAGGGAAAATAGAGGGGAAAAATGGATAATCATTACCTGGGTAAGTGCAACGCCACTTGATAATGTAGTTGGCATACAACTAAATACAGCCAATCCTGTAAGTCAATAGAGAATTTTTGCTCAATAGTCAAGCAAACAACAGACTGAGATCTCGAGATGTCAATGACAAATACATGGACCACCAACTACCAATCATCACAATAATATGCAATATACAAGATAAAAATGGTGGGGAGGACAATAGAAGTCACTAATAGTGTTGAAAAGAACATACCGATGGACAAAAAACCAAACATGTAGTTATTGGATGTCATTTTTTAATTCTCCAGACTCAAAAAATTTTTCCATAAAAAATTAAAACTAAAACCCTGAGTAAGAATAAGCATATTAGGGAACACTGTCTCAGTTGAAAACTAGGTTTTTGTTTAATAATAACTAGTCATATGGCATGGAGACGTAAAATGGCATCTCCTTTCACATTATATATTCTTTTGTTAGATTGTAATATCACCTTTAAGAAGTAGGGGGGTGTTTTCCCCAAATGAATTTTAGTTTTCTTTGATAGAATTCATTGCTAGAGTCATTATAATAATGCCAACATCAAATATTCAAAATACTGTAAAGACCTGAAAATAATCCAAATAGCAAGATTGCAAAATTGCTCCTGCTTTAAGTAGAACCAAAACCACCAAACCTGTAATAAATTCTTGGGGTTGGAGCTGAATTTGCAATATTGCCCTAGAAAAGTTAGGCGACAGAAACAGTATTGACACCTGATTGAAGAAAAATGGAGAGCTTTACCCATATTTTCCAGCATGAATGACAAAATCAATGCAAGGGATAGCCATAAACCCCACTGGAAAACAAAGGATAAAAAAGACAGGAACATAGAACAACCAAATCTTATTTGGGAAAAAAAAAGAAAGAAAAAAGAAGCACATATTGCCCTTTTGTCCCCTCACTACTGTTCAGCTCTAACCTCTGTCCCAGTAGGTGAAACTTCTAAATGTTGTACTCTCTGCTTTCAAAAATGTAAATCTAAACATAATTACACCATTGAATTGCAAGTTAATACAAAAGGAAACTACTGTGGAGAATCAGCTTACAAAAGGCGGACTTAAGAAATTCGAGGTCATACTAGCCCAAAGAGTCCGACGGGCCATGCTTCCACAGCTGCACCAATTTCTTTACTACGCAGCATCAATCCTAAATGATAATATCAGGGTATTGTGAGATGGGAATCATAAGAGTAAAACAGCATACAGAGAGAGCAGCGCCCTTGAAGCCTAACCTGAGATTATGAAAATCCCAAACGGACCAAGTTTTGACACAGAATATTTATCAGCTAGACAGCCCAGACTAGGATATGCTAGTCCAAGTGTCACTCCAGTTATTAGAACTACATATCACAATCAGCACATAAACAAAATTGTTAATTATTAAAAATTAATTTACCAAAACTCAAATCACTAAGGCATGAAATAAGTGATAATCCTTTTAATAAATAAATAAATAAATACACAGAAGAATTGCTACCCAAGGGTAAAAAGTTGTTTCCAGCAAATCTCAAAATAGGTTGCGCCCAACTCAATCCCTTCGTCAGAGCCGAGAGATTGGTAGGATTACTTCCATTACCATCTATCTGAAACCACTGTAATTCCCTTAAGCCACCATACATATTAATACTTGCAAGTTGCAACCAATGATTTTTAAAAGTAAATTAAGAAAATAAAACAAAAATTGGCCTCGATTAGCATATATTAAAAACCCAACATCATAAATTCCAGTTGTAACCTATATCTTCTCGGCAGAAACGCGACCGCCACGACTATACTCAAACACAAACACACGCATAAATTCATCAGAATTTAACCAGAAAAATCCTGGCCATTTGAACCCAGATATGAGTGCAGGCACAAAATTACAACTTTGCACAACTAAACTCATAGCCCAGCTCAAATGGCCACACTTTTAATTTTCCTGTCAAACTAGATGAAGCCACGACTGAGAAGTTGTGAAAAGATGTGTGAATTGTGGAATTAGCAGCTGTGCAAGAAGCATTGTTCGTTCAATGATAATTGATTGCACAATCACAAAAGAAAAGAAAAAAGAGCAGTAGAACGAGATTGAACCTGGTCGGAGCGCTGACAGGCTCTAACGGTTAGAGGCAGGAACCGTGAGCCACGAACATTGCGAGTCAGTGAGGGGAAGGTGAGGGAAATGGGGCGAAATTTTACATGAACTGACAGTAAGTCAGGGTGCCGGTGACGGAGGGTCGAAGCAGCGGCGGGAAAACCCGTGACAGTTAGAGCCTGGATGGTTCCCGCCATAAGACTTGGACCAACAGCGCCGTCGAGGTCAGTGGCTGAGCTTAGAGACAGATAATGCGCAGCCCAACTCAAGTTTAATTGTAGGCTTGTAGCTGAAATTGACGGTATCGACTATCGACACTCCTCCTATAAGACTTCTTTTTGTAGTAATTTAGGACCGGAGGAGTAATACTAAAAATAACAAATTTGGCTCAATTTTTTCTGCCAAAAAGACCAAAGAAAAAAAAGGGGGAAATATTTTCAATGGATAATATTGGGTCATCCATTGAAATGAAGATGAGCAGATGGATAGGCAATGGCCCCTTGAAGGGGGAGACACGTTGGATGGATACGTGAGCAGATAGACAAGTTATGTATGTTTAGTAACAAGTGCAAATATATTTTAAAGCATTGAATAAATTATTAAATATTGGGTTAAAATGTAATTTTGGTCATAATTTTACTTTCAAGTGCAATTTTGCTTCTAATTTTTTAGTGGTATAATTTTGCTTCTGGTCTTTTTTTTTTTGTGTAATTTTATCCCTGAGGTCAAAATTGTACCGAAAAATCAGGGTTAAAATTACACCACTAAAAAAAATATGGACAGAATTACCCCTAAGAATTACATCTAAACCCTAAAATATTTTAAAATATTAAACACATTCAAAAAATATTTCAGGGACTTTTAACATGTCTCATAAGTTTTGCATAAAGTAATATTTTTTTATTGGTAACTCTAATAAATTATAAGACTCTCTAACTAATAAATTTTATTGTGGATGTATTTGACATTTTATTTAAAAAACTAATTTTTTATTTACAAAAAAATTGTCAATTAAGTAATTAAGTACTTGTGAATAAAATGAAAGTATTAAAACCGCTTGTTTCACTGAAACTTATGTAACCGAGAAAATTAAGATAATAAATACTAGTATTATATTTAGATTAAGCTTTTTTTATAACTTATTAGGGTATCCCTCAAATTATTTTGGAGTTGAAACTAATCTCTATCCCGCTGAGAATGTTAACATTAAAGCTTTTTCAACAAGTATGCTTTCAGAAATTTAAACTTGTATTCTTCTCTTTACGGGGTAAGATTTTAACTAACAATTTGTTATTATATTTAGATTAAATTTTTTATATCAATTATACCAAGTTGCCCATCGTGTTATGTAATTTTAACATAATAAATATATAGAAAACTCCATGCATTATCTATGTTCGGAGGCAAGGCATGCTCAAACAAAAAAATCTCTAGAATCCGAACTCCTCGACCTTAAATTTCAGAGTCCGGAGAAGGATCGTCCACGTATTTGAATTTGGAGATATTGCTAATCACTATTTATATAATAATTCAGTAATATTTTCATTTTTCTATTTAAAAATTATTTTTAACTTTTTAGAATCATTTTATGAAAAGCCTCTCAATTTCAAGTAATTAAGAAATTTGTCAACTGCTTGTAGCTTAAAAATTTCGTTCATGTTGCTCAAAATAAAAATATACCTCATAATAAGTGTGTGAATCCACTCACTTCTCATTTTAATTAATTAATCAATATCAAAAAATAGTTGTTAACTTATTTAAAATCTTACTAACTTTACTCATATTAAATGAAGATGTGATGGAAAGAAAAAATTATAAGAACTTATATTTAAGCTTTAGTTATAGAGATAAAATTGATAAATAAACTAACTATTTTTTTAAAAGCGATTTATATTATGGTGAGAACTGAGAAAGAGGTTTTTTATTTTTTTCCTCCTTCCCTTCTCATCATCAAGTCGTGAACTATGGGCCTCTCAAAGGCAAATACAGTAATTATTTGGAAGCAAAAAGCTGCAATTTGGCAAAACTCTCGAAAGAAACAAATCATATATATATTTAACTAAATTCATACTGCACTTTTAAGAGTTTTAAGATTTCGCAAAATTCTAATTTCCCATGATTAAGCGATTAGAGATGGACCAAACGATGTTGCAGAGATTCCTAAAATCTCTGTTATTATCTCTGATCGGCGATATAGTCTTGGAATTTTTCTCCACAGTTTCTTCACAACTTTTCGCTCTCAGCTTCGCTTTAACCGCTTCAACTCTCACTTTCCGATAAAGACCAGACGCCAAGTTTTGCTTGGCACCACCAAGTTCATCCATGGCTTCCTTGTACATCTCAGCGCAGAATTGGTACTTCTCTCTCACGCTACGATCACCAGTCATCTCGATGATCGAACCTATCTCGTTGTGGGTCTTTCTTGCGTAATTATGAGCCTTACTGATCATCGTCGTGGCAAGGGTTTGAATGTTGGATATGTCCACCCGAGGATCCGACTTGAGGGTCCGAAAGCAGAAAGGAGGGTCTTTGCTTTGGAGGCATATCAATTTGATTTCTTCTTCACTCAGTTTGGCCATCGAGAGCGTAACGAGTGAAAGAATAAACATGAGGAAGAAGATGACGATGAAAGAATGAGAAGCCATCTTTGATTGGTGGCTTTGGTGAATAAACAAACTTTAGTATAAATAAGAGATGATGAAGATAACAGTTTGAACATTAAAGAAGGAGGAGTTATTTCTGGAAAGAAGGGAGGTTTACAATGAAGTTGGTCAGTTCCAGCATGGTATTAAAAAACTCAGGTTAGTTCATTAAACGGGTGATGATTCGATTTAAGAGTTTTGATCAGGACAATCAGGTTGGATTTTATATTTTTTCTTTCTTTTAAGTGTGAAATGATGTTTTGAGTTTAAAAGAAACTAGTAACAATACGTTAGATTTGTGAATTGTTTATGAATTTTTTTTATATATGTTAATGAAATTATATATCATTTTAATCCTCACAAGTCTAATTCTGTATTTCATAAAAATTTGGGAGTGATATAATCTTTATGCAAGGACAGTTAATCCCAAATTGAATCACGAAATCTTATTTAGAGGGTTGTGGGTGAAAATCAAATTATAATTTTAAAAATAATTTTATGATTTATAAAATAAATATATTAGAAGAGTTTTGTCTTGATTTATATAAAAATACTTTTTAAAATGATTTTATGGAAACCAAACACAAAAATCAGTTCACACCTTTCTTTTCATGGACTCTTCATGAATGTTACAAATATAATATAATATATATATATATAAAATTAAAATATGACTAGGAGTGAAAATATTACTTTAAAATATTTGATTTTAATATTGTGCATTTAAATTACCATTTGATATTAACTTTGCAATAAAATTACTTGAAGCAATGTTTTCAGGCTCGGACCGAACTGGATGGTCAGACTGGTCAAACCATCCTAAGGGAGAGAGCAGACCGTCTCACACCATTAGTTCGCTCTGATGGTCAGACCGGATTCAACCGTTCAAAGCTGAGATTTGGACCGGAAACTGGAGAAAAACCAGGAACCGAAACGGGTAATGAAAACCTGTCCGGGTGGAGAAGAAGGAGAAGAAGAGGAAGGAAGAAAGAAATATCAAAGCAAATACATATTTATCCACAGACATATGATTTATAAAGAAAATGACGAAAATCATGCATGAGAAAGAAATAAAATGTTTCACGCCTTCATCTATAGTTCTTTGCTGGCTGCAATCGCGGCCTTGACCTCAAACGACTGGATGCTTCAGCTAGGGGTTGGAGCTTTTTCAAATGAGGAGGAAGAAGTGAGAGAACGTGTTATTTCAGAAAATGGGCTAGACTTCTTTAATGTAGGGGGTGTTTGAATAAAACCAAACCATGGTTTGGAGAATAGTTTCTGAAGAATAAATTTTGGAAAGAATAATAGATTTTGTGAAAAAGTGATTCTGAGAAGTGAAAGTATTTGGATAGTTGTTATCAGAAGTACTTTTTATATATACAAATTACCAAAAAAAGCATAAGTTAATATGATAATTACATAAAAAATAGATTGTATGATATGTTTTAATTTGAAGGAATAAAATTGTTAATAATATATTTTTTATCAACATAATTAATAATACATAAGATAATATAATTAATAAATAATTAATATGTGTATTTATATTTATATTATAAAAAAATAATTGAGGGGTGTTAAAGTCATATCATTGTTGAGATCTACTCTCAGACTCTCCCTCATATTGCATCTGAAACAATGAGAAAGAGATGAATAATTGGGAAGGGTATATCCATCTGGGCCAAAAAAAAAAAAAAGGCACATATCCCATAGGCTCTCACACTCTTCATTTTTCTTCCAAAAGCAGAAATTTTTTGCTTCTACCAAAACTATGGTTTCTGGGCCAAAACTATGGTTTCTGGGCCAAAACCAGGAAAAATCATCCAAACACCCCCGCAAGCTGGCATTGATACCTTTTTTTTAAAAAAAGTTATAGTCTCGGCCTTTTCTCGTTTTCCCACACCCCCTTATGCCTGACAACCTATATATAGGGAGTGTTTGGATATCCCAATAATTACTTTTCAAAAGCACTTTTCTGTAAATCGATGTAAACTCTTCTACATATTTACTTCATATACTGTAAAAACACTTCTGAAACCATGGTTTTGATCTTACCCAAACGCCCCCATAGTTTATATCACTTAACAAGTTATTGTAGCTGTGGCCTATCTAATTTTTACATTTCTTAATTTTTAATAATTTATATTCACTTTTTGGTATTAAAAAATTGACAAATTATCCCGCTTTGAAGGTTGAAGACAGTATTGCACCATACATTTTTGTAATATTGTTTATACATTTGTTTGTTTTTCATTTTTCATTTTTAATTTTATTGTTATATAAAATTTATTTAGATGTTTTAATATAAAATGATTTTTTGCTAAAATATAAAATGATTAATATAAAGTTAAATGTGTATATATATTTAGACCATTTAATTTTTTAAAATTTTTAAATAATTTGATATTTTATTTTTTACACATATTTTTTATTTTATATATATAATATTTCCTATGATATTATATTTAATTTAATTATTACATTACCAGTCTAACCGATCGGTCTAACCGATTTGACCGTGATCTGCTAGTTTTTCTGATTCGATATCTGATTTGGTTTTTAAAACATTGACTTGAAGTCAAAATGAATAAATATTAGAGATATTGTCGTTAAGCTAGATTTGGATTGGGGTTGTAGGAAGGAAGATATTATTGTAAAATTTAATCATTTGGACATTCATCGGAAACTGATTTGATTTTAACCTTTTTTAGGCTCGATTTTACACTAGGATTAGGGTTTCGGAAAGCAATGTATCATTAGGAAAAAATCTTTTGACGATGAAGTTGAATTTATAGTGCGCACATATATGACAGATATATGTTTAGAATTAGAATATGATGAGGAGCGAAAATAAGGAGTAGATGAGGAAGCAAGCGTAAGCAACGAGGCCACGGTGTTCATCCCATCGGCCGACTTCGACGAGGAGCTTGGTGCAAACGCGGGTGGACCAGCTCACAAAAATGGCGGCGATGACGAAAATGGCGACACCAGCTTGAGGAAGGAACAAGGAGAGAACCGAAAGAATCACCATGGGAAGCATGCAATAGCCAAGCAAGCTCACACACCTGTGCAAATCCAGAGTGCCGTGACGCCCTGCCAGCATGTTGAACACAACGTACAGGAAAAGCGCCGCCACCGTCACCCACCCTAAGATTATCCCGAAATGAATCTTCCCCGCCAGTAATTGGAACAATCCGAAAGCCATTAATAGCAGAAACGGTCCTGATAGATCGGCGTCGTCGTGCAGGTTCGGGTTTATGCGTACCGGGTTTAGGATCGAGCTTGTTTTGCTCCAGATTTGTCTTGTGTTGATCCCCAGTTCTTCCAGAAGAGGCGGTTCGTCGATCACTGTGGTGTTCGAACTGTCGTTGCCGCTGATCGAGCCGAATTCGGAGGATGCGAATGGCGTTGGTGCGGCGGATCCGACGTCGAACGACTTGAAAGAAATGGGGTTGGTGGTTCGTGGCTGAAACGGAACCATTGGACGGCGTTGTTTGAGGCCGGGGTTTCCGCCAGAAGGGAAAACCACACAGGGTACATTGAATTCCTTCGACATTATTGTCGACTTTTTTCCCCGGGAAAATTGGGTTCACTGGAAGAAAATTATCGGGAAGGAGAATGAAATTGTTGGCTTTATATATCAAACTGTGCTTGGCAAGAAAGAAACTGCTCGTGTTGTCGTGGGAATCGAACTCCTCGAGAAAATTGGGTCCCTTCAATAGAAGAAACTTGTCCAGGAGTGAAGATTTGCAATTGGAAACGAATCAAATCTGAGAAAGTAGAGGTAAGTTAAACTTCAAAAATTCCAGGCAACTGCTGGGAAAGTTTGATGCCTTCAAAGTGCGAAAACTGAGAACCAAATGAATCTTTTATGTAAAAAATAAGTAAAAGTGTGGCTTTAGGAGGAATATTGAGAAAAACATAGGAAGGTATGGATCCGACTGACATAAAAACTAACTCTGGAGGTAGTTATATACTTTGAACCCACAAAAACAGTTGTGACTCTGCATGGATACCGTTACTTTCCCGCAGGGAATTCGGACACACTGTAACTGTCGTTTTTTTTTTTTTTTTTTTTTTTATTATTATTATTATTATTATTATTATTATTATTATTATTCAATAAAATAGTGAACCCCGAATTTGCTAACTATAGGTTTATGAGACATCTATAATGTTTCATTTTCATTTTCAGTGATAGGACAATAATTCAATCTTTAATTATTTGGAATCAATGATAGCCAAGCTATTATTTCCTGTTCTTAATATAAGAGCTAATTTGACATTCAATTTTTCTCTAAATATAAAACTTTGATCCACTTTATCTTTTATATTTATTTATTTTTTCTCAAGATAATCTTTGTAGTAATTATAAATATTAAATATTTTATCAAAAGATAATTTTAGTTAATACATATGAATAGCAAACATATTTTAAAAAAGATAACACATTTATTATAAAAACTAACTTAGCTAACTTTTTTTTAATTTATTCAAATTAATCAATTAGCTCTTATATTAAGTACTAGAGTTAGTATTTGATTAGTTTTGACAATCCGTGATTTTAATTATCCTTACTTTCAGAGTTTTCATTGTCCAATCTCTTTTGATGTTATTTAATTTTTAACACATACTTCATCCTGTCATTGAGTTAGCTAAATTACAAAAAATTAAAAAATTATTTAACTTAGTTATTTGTAATAAATAACAAGTCATTGAGTTAGGTAATTTACAAAAAATTAAAAAATTAGTTAAGTTAGTTTTCTAGAATAAATAAATTTTGTTTTCTTAAAAATATTCATATTGTTCATGTGCACTAGAACTATACTTCATAAAAACTCTTTGATATGTATGTAATAACCATAAGGATTGCTTGGGGCAAAGTGAATATATAACAAATATGTATTTAAAAAAAAACAAATTCCTAACTAACTCAAGCATTCAGAGCAAGAGTTATTTACTTATATAACATTCTTACAAGTGAGACATTTGTTTCAAGCTAGTCACTCGCATAGTGTTCATGATTAATAAATAAGAGAGTTTTATAAATTATATATTGAAAATTAATTTAATTGTTTTTAAAATTATTATACAAACACATATATACTGTCATTAATTAATATAAATTTCAACATTCAATTCATATTTCTTTTGACAAATACTGGAATTCAACTTTAGAAGTTATAGAAAATGTAATCAAAATTATTTTTTCCCATAAATTTCTTTTTTAATAAAAACAAATCAAGGCGGACAAAAAATAAATTATCAAAAGATAAGAGGCCAGAATATAATTATCTTCAGTTCAGGTCAAATAAACAAGAAGCTATCTCCAAACTACGTACCCGACGCAACTGAAGCAATGTTTCTTGAGGTATCAGAGAACGTTCATAATCGTTGCCGAAGCAACTGAACTGGGCTTTCAGAAACAACTGCGAAGAAGAAGATGGCAGCGGTGGTTCGGCCGCATATACTGCACTCTTCTCCAATGCTTAGACCCTCCTTGCTCCTTCGAAAGCTGCCTTGCTCTGTCTCTCATTACTCCTCTCCAAGTACTCTCTCTCGCAAAATCTCCACCACTCGTCGCTTCTGCTTCAACTCCGAATCTGTTCCTGAGGTGCCCCTCTGTTCGTTTGATTTTGAATCCATGTATTTCAAAATTTGTTCTTTGCTTTAATTACTTTTGTCGAATCTAGAGTTCGTCGCCAGGGAGTGAATCAGGCGCCTCCATAGTTGGTGATCTTCTCGATTATTTAAACGAGTCATGGACACAATTCCATGCTACGGGTAATTGAATTTCTCTTTTTGTTCTTGTTCTTATTTGCTAAGCTAGAATACTGGGTTGTGATTATTTTAATTTACATTTTTTAGATGTTTATTTTGCACTGCACTGCGTCATGGCCCGTCCTAAGTGGGTTGGCGTCACGAAGGAAATCGCACAATTAGCGAAGTGGCCTATTAAAATGTTATTTGAACCTCTGGAGGCGTCCTTTCGCTTGGGCTCTGTATTATCGTTTGAATTTCTTCACATTTAAGATTTGGGAAACTTTGAGACCAGAAACCACCTTGATGGAAGCTCAATTCGAGCTTGGAATGTTATTAACATGTCAGCCTAATGATAAGTTTTTTAAATAGAAATTAGTATACTCAATGTGCCCTTATATAGTCAACTATCTTATATTATGGTTTTATTTACAACTGCTATTTTTCCTGCAGCTGAAGCAAAAAGAAAGTTAATTGCTGCTGGTTTCCATCTGCTAAATGAGAATGAAGAATGGGACCTAAAGCCTGGTGGACGCTACTTTTTCACACGAAATATGTCTTGTGTGGTTGCTTTTGCTGTTGGTGAAAAGTGAGTGAAAATGTCATCGATTGGAAGTATTAGTCTTCCAATTATAAAAGGAGAATTCAGCAGGCTTCTTTGATAAATTCCTTTTCGTTTGTTTGTTTTTTTGGGTTTATTGTATAACCTTCACCAAAAATACCGATCCCAAATCATCGCTGCAGATACAATAAAAAAACACTGAGCATTCTCTTTTCTTTGTTTTTAATTCTCTTCATTTTTGCTGATGTGCAACTAATTGTTTTCCAAGCTTTTTGACTTGCCCTCTGAATATGAGTGTAGATATCAGGAAGTCAATACATTTGTACTTCTCACTTTTTCTGGGACGCTACGCTTCTCTTGTTTTGAACTGTCCATTAATTTATAGAATCTGTTTTTGCAACTTGAATGTGTGTTTGTGTATGATAGCGATTCATTTTCTAATTGTAGGCAGGTTGAATGGAAATATATTGGTTAAATGTTATTATTTTTGCAGATATAGCGTTGGCAATGGTTTTCATATCATAGCTGCACACACAGACAGCCCATGTCTAAAATTGAAACCAAAATCAGCATCATCCAAATCAGGCTATCTGATGGTCAATGTGCAGACATATGGGGGTGGATTATGGCATACATGGTTTGATAGAGATTTGAGTGTCGCTGGAAGAGTCATTGTGAGAAGCAGCGGCAACACTTATTTGCACAAGCTTGTTAAAGTTAAGAGACCTCTTCTACGCATACCAACACTTGCCATTCATCTTGACCGGTCTGTTGCAGCTTCATATTTTTTCATTGTTACAACTTCATTCCACTGGGGTTGCAACTTGAATAACATTTATATTCTTGCAATTTGTTCATACAGTGTAGTCAAATCTTCATCTAGAGTGAATTTTTTCATACTAGGTTGTGTCGGTGCCTTCAAGATCTAATTACAGAAAATAAATAACTTTTATGGCACTTATGGGGGAAATCAACCTATCTAAATACTCCATAAACCATCTCTTACTACTCAATGTGAGGCCAAGAAATCTGATATTACCCTAGCCACAATCAATTGGCCCTACTTGGAGAGCCAAGGTCCTGGTGGTTATGCTTTGAGGCACTTCACTTCGCTTTCTTATGTGTCAGAAACCTTTGTAGGTAATCCTATTGGAAACCATTGAGGCGTTGGCTGCTATCTTTGATATCATATTAATAGGTATATAATTTGGATGGAGAACTATTCTCCCAAACCTAACAATTGAGGTGGAAGAACCTCAAAGAAGCCTCTTAAATGGTCAATAGAGTATCCCTTGTTAATCATTGTGAGATCTAGGCATCTCATACTACCTTAGGCTCCATCTCGTACATATTAAAATGGGTGTGAATTGCCCTCCCCCTTTTCCTTCTTCGCCTGTGGGATCAATTTTCAGCAACAGAAATATGGAATGTTGATTCCATTAACCTCGCTTCTTTTTTGTTTTATTTTTTAGCACAGTGAACAAGGATGGTTTTAAACCAAATCTAGAAACTCACTTGCTACCATTACTCTCAATGAGACCTGAGGAAACTTCTGATTTGAAAGAGAAGACTGCAAAATCCAAGGCTGCTCATCATTCACTGCTCATGGAGGTAATTCATCATTCCTATGTCGAAGTTAAACATGATTTTTTTTTTTTTTTTTTCTTTTTTTAAAACTATGGGAAGGGCTTGAGGAAATTAGCGGAGCATGAAAGTGCTTGGCAAGTGGGCTCAAGACAATGTTTGTTGACACTTGCAGAGGGTGTAGGGAGAAGATTTTATCTTCAACTGTTAGGCATGGCACATCCGACTGGGGGACTCCTTTTGGGTCCATAATTAATACTTAGGATATAGGCTTACTTGGAGTGGTACATCTTGTTAGATTACCAGAGTTTCCTTTTCCCATGGAGAAGCTAATGGGTTTTGCCTCGATGTTTTGAAACTTGTTTGGAGAAAGTAACTAACCATGGATTGCTAGGTTTCATATTCACATGGCTGTTTATTAAACAATGATTACTCTGCGTGTGTGTGTGTTGATTAAAGCTTTTCTCTTGCTTCCTTAAGCTTTAAGTTTCATCCTTTTTGAAAGCTTCCTTTTGTTGGCTCTCAATATGAATGAGGAGCTAAGTTTTGAGAAGGATCTGGCCTTTAGCAAGTATGCTTGGAATTGTTTTACTTCTCCAAATTTATTATAAGCTTCGCGAAGAGTGATGAGGATAATATATCTGGCACTCCTTTTGATATCAGACAAGCCATTAATAAACTAGCACTTGTTACACAAAGCTCTCATTGAACATCACACCTGAGTATTGACTTCTTGAACATTCAGTGTACTCAGACACATCTATAATGAATTATCTGTTAATCATAGCTTCTTTTCTATCTGTTGGTTATCATTCTTGACTTTTATTTGCAGGTTTTGTCAGATGAGTTGAATTGTCAGCCTGATGACATAGTTAGTGTTGAACTGAATGTTTGTGACACTCAGCCTAGCTGCCTTGGGGGTGGAAACAATGAATTTATATTTTCTGGAAGATTAGATAATCTTGCTTCAAGTTTTTGTGCATTGAGGGCACTTATTGATTCATGTGAATCTCCTGGTGATTTAACCAACGAGCACGCAGTACGAATGGTTGCTTTGTTTGACAATGAGGAGGTAGTTTTTCTTCTTCATTTAATTTACAGGCTTTAAGTTTTTCACAGACTAGATATCATCCTTTTTTGGTAAATCGGATGCTAAAAAAATATTTTAAATGTTATTTTCATTTTGAATATGTATGCTTCTTCTTTCTTCTAATCATACAGTTACCTTTAACATATATAACGTGCCTAAATTCTTAATATTTGTGAAAATGCCACTTTAAGCTAAACTTTAGGACAATATTAACTCCTTCCCTATTTAGAGGGTAGTACATAGTATTTGTTTTGTATTTGTTTTATTCGAATAATAATATGTCTAACTGCTAAAATTTAGGTGGGTTCAGGTTCTGTCCAAGGAGCTGGTGCGCCAACCATGTTTCAAGCCATCAGACGCATTGTAAGCAGCTTAACTGATAGCTATGTCGGGGAAGGCTCTTTTGAGCGCAGCATTCGCCAATCATTTCTCGGTATAGTATCATGTTTCTCAAATAATTCCTGACAATTTTCATCACGATTCCATCTTTGATTGCGCCTTTTCAAGTTTTTTCTAGTATTTGGTGAAAGACATTGGCAATTGAACATGGCTTGATGCCACGAACTTAGTACAGGTAAATTGGAGGAATAACCATTGTCATGTGATGTAGTTAGACTAGAACAGAAGAAAAGGCTTAAAGCTCATGCATCATGGATTTAGACTAGGAATTAATTTGTTTAAAGTTCATCAGTTATGAAATGCAGCAGAAAAACACTTCTGTTTGGAAAATATTCTGTCTCTGTTAGTTGCATGTTATTATTATTTTAAACAGGCTTCACCTTGCAGTTACACTTCCTCAACTTCTTTCATGAGATTCCAAGTGTAGCTTATTTGTGTGCTATTTGGATGAAAACGAAACTATAATTTTAAAAGTAATTTTACGGTATACGAAGCAAGTATGTGAGGGGAGTTTTGTCTTGAAGTGTGTGAAAGCACTTTTTAAAAGTGTTACTTGCGGCAAGAAAAGGATAAATAATGATGAACTTGAGAAGTTTTGGTTTTCAATGAAAATGTGCAGATGAATATGTTCCGCATAATTCAGAACTTTGTCATACACCAAGATGTTGATTTTACTGATACAATCAACCATAGTTATTAATAACAAAGCACACTTGTATCCATGGGCTCCCAAATGCTACCGAGTATAGCATTGCGTGAGCTAGATGAAAATGTAATGCACAATATTGAAGATTTCATAATATAATTGCCACTCGCTGATGTATGTTGAAAACCAACCTTGCATTAAAAAGAAAAAATATCAGAAAATCTTAATAGTCCATAAATCACAACATCAAATACTTAAATCATTGCATACATTCATGTTTAAGAAAATTGAGTGCAAACTATTCCACTTCATCAAATGCAACATCATAATAATTACCCTTAAATAATCCCTCGATTTCAAGTTCATCTTCTGGGGTTTTTTGTTCGTTCACCAACCTTATTAAAAGCATAGAAAGAGGAGGATGCCGCTGCCCCTCTTTATCACTGAAGCGTATTTGGATTGCGACCAAGCAAACACATTACACAGGCAGACACCTCAGATCCTAGCTAATGCTACATCATACCAAGTCACATAAATATCTTCAACCACAAGACAAAATTTAAGTGGCTGGCTCAAAAGGAGGATGAAGAGCATAATAATGATAAAAATTTGTGGCTGCACTGGAATATCTTCATTGAAACCCTGTTATATTTAATGGGCACTTAATTATTCACTCTTCCAAGGATGGATTGAGTATATCTAGCAGTAAACTTCGTAAAATCACTCAAATCATTCGCACTTGGGATTGTCTGGAGCTACAAGCCATAGTGTGCCACTAGTGACCATGCTATAAATATACTAGTGATATTCCTTTCTTGAGTTAGGAATATATGCATGAATAATTGTATTTATATTATTTCTATTCTATGAACAAGAAGTATCCTATATTTGTTGTGTAATTTAGCTTTTTGGATGGGACTGCTAAAGCATCTTTTGCATTCTCCCTCTAATAGTGTCTGCAGACATGGCCCATGGAGTTCACCCAAATTTTACTGAAAAGCATGAAGAACATCATCGACCTGAATTGCAAAAAGGACTTGTCATCAAGCACAATGCAAACCAGCGCTATGCTACCAGTGGAATAACATCTTTTCTTTTTAAGGAAGTCGGAAAAATCCATAACCTTCCAACTCAGGTGAATTCATGTGTGTGTAAAGCTTTTTGAAAGTTTCATAATTTCTTAACATAAGCTTTATGCTAATGTGGTCCCTCCTCACTCAATCTGAATTATACAGGCCAACATGGCTTCTAAAAACCGATTGGCATATCAAAAAATAAAAAGTGCCAATCCAAAAGGAATTCTAGATATTGGCCATCCAGGACTTGGTAGCCTGAAACTCAGAAGATTATAAATGTTTGTTTGAATTTGCTTTTCTCATCTGCTTTTCTTCTTGATACATTTTGATAAGCATTTTCCTTATAATTTTCTATAATGGGGATTTGGCATTCAGCCGTTGAAGCTAAGGCGCTTGATTTATGTGTGGATTTTCAAAGAAACTGCAGGTCTGAAAGCAAGTTTCTAAATCATTATACAGGAAGAAATTATGTGCCTTTTCAGTTGCAGGATGATTGATAATGTGACATATATATGTTTTCTTTGTATGCCGTTGAGTTTTGTACTTAATTGAAACATATAAAAGTAAATATTTGTCTCCCTTTAATGTAGGAATTTGTGGTTAGAAATGATATGGGATGTGGATCGACCATAGGTCCCATACTTGCATCTGGGGTTGGCATCCGAACTGTTGATTGTGGAATTGGTCAACTCTCAATGCACAGGTATCTCTTTTCAATAAAAACGCACACGCATCAAATGCTTTTTGCTTCAACTTATAAGCATTGTGTAAAATTTCGACATAGACTAAATATAACCAATAGTTTCATGGAGGAAATGTCCTTATTAATCTCTAAAAGTTGCATCAAATTTTGGTCCCTGATCCTTAGAAGTAAGCAATCAATCTTGAACAATACATGTTTTAACTATTAGGTCCTTTAATGTTATAAACACATGATTTAATCCCATCTAGAGTACTGGTTGGCACTATTCATACTTCAGGAGTGATGATCGCTTCTATTTTTGTGTGGCATCCTTCACTTGAATTTTAAGAACCAAGAGCATGTTTTTTATCTGTGACCAATTTTGATCCCATTGAGATTCTGTGTATTTTTCATCATTTCTAGTAAAATTTCAGTCTTAAAAGAATGCTGCTTTTAGTTGCTTGCTGTTGCATTCAATCTTTGGCTTGTTCCTAACAGTTATCAATCCTCCAATTGCAGTGTGAGAGAAATATGTGGAACGAAAGATGTAGACATAGCTTACCAGCATTTCAAGGCGTTCTATAAATCTTTTTCAAGCATAGACAAGAAGATCAGTGTGGATTTCTGAGCTTGTTGGTTCTTGTTGGTAACATGACATAGCCTCTCAAGGCATTCAACAAAACCCTTTCAAGCATAAACAAGAAGATCTGTGCGAATTTCTGAGCTTCCTGATCTCTTTGGTACCATGACATTATCATGAAAGAGTTCCGCTTCACTTCTGAGCTCATAAGGTGCGCAGTCCTTAGCTCCATTGACCCATCCCCCAACATTGCTCTAAATTAAATTTTTTATATGGTAAGTTGGGGATAAGAACTTGCTTCAAGGTAAAAAATTTTATGCATCTAAATCGGTTTGGAGCTCGTTGTGAATCAGAACTAAGCTTTTTTTTTCCGTTCCTTCCCATTTTTTTCCTTTTTTTTTTTTTTGTTCTAAATTTGATTGGACTTCATGATCTCTGCTTAATTCTTGACAATAAAGCTTTATTTGCATTCTTGAAGCATTTGTATTGTCTTGTTTATCTATTATCTATTCTCTTTGTTGGATTATGCCACAGTTCCGCAAACTGATGAATGATGAGAATTTGACTGTTGTGAAGGATACTTGCCCACACTTTGAACGGCAACGATTTTTTTTTTTTGGCCCCCTTGGGCCATCAGAAGGATGAAAGGCGAGATTGTCAAAAATTCTACAACAGGCTAGCGCACGTTTGTTTATGTGAAAAGGTTTGTTTCTCGTAACATACCATAACAAACTAAATTTTGAAGTCTCATTAAAAAATATATTTACATTTAGTATCTAACAATATCTTAAATATAATTATTTCTGATAAAAAAATATCTATGCATAACCATAAAAAATCAAGAAATAACTAGTGTTTTTGATAATTTACAGATTTTTTGCAAATTTATTTATCACCTAAGGAGTTAATAAAAGCGAAAATTATTGTGTTTGGTAGCAATTATCAAAAATGATTTATCATTTAGTTGTTTTTAAATTTTGATATTTTTATGCATTTGATGATGTCTCAAAGTCATTCCTTTTGTAATTAGTACTGAAGTCCAATAAAAACAACGTCAACTTGTGATTCTAACTTCTGATTTATTTTTAGAGTAGTTAAAAGGATTTTTTATGATTTAAGAGATGTTTGGATGAAAGTAAATTATAATTTTGAAAATAATTTTACAATTTACAAAATAAATATGTAGATAAATTTATCACGATTTGTTAGAAAACACTTTTTAAAAACACTTTTATGACTTCCCAAACACCTTTTTAGGTTCTTTCTAAAAAAAGTTAAAAACAAAAATCATAAATTTTTTTTAAAAAGCTAATTTATTTCATGAAAACAGTTAAAACAATCGACTTGCAGCCAATAGTTTATCTTCCAGTGCCAAAGTTTAGCTAATGTTTTACGTTCATCTTCTTTTTTCCCTCTCTGGGGCTTGCTCATGCCCACCAATACCATATGATGGAACTTCGATTTTGATTACGTAAGTGGGGAACAGAGAATACCGAAGAGATCACTGCATTCAAAGGCTTTCAGTACCCGTGCTGCACTTCGCACTAACGGAAAACTATTTTTCCGTTGGAAAACTATTTTCCTCGTGAGAGAACAATTAAAAGCGATCGGAAATTAGCTACAACATCCATGCATAAAAAATACCCATAAATAGACGTATGCGACTAATAGACGACAGACATTCAAATGAATGGCAGAAAGCGAATTAAATATACAATCTAAAATCCAGAAAAAGTCCGCCATATGTTTGTGTGTATATATAGTACATGTTAAGGATTATTCACCGGGCTACTGTAAAATCTATAGTTCGCAACTGGAGCTCGAACAACTCCCGCTAGACAAGCATCAAAGCTCCCGCAACGCAGCAGCAATTGACCTGCCGAGCTCTTTTATCGCAATTCCTTGAGCGCTGAGGGTAGCTGCAGTTTAAAGAAGGAAAAGATGGGGGAAAATCAAATACTCATTTCCAGAAAATTTCAGAGGGGGGAAAAAACGCAATAACTTGTAGTAATGGGAAGAATAAGCACTCAGAATCTATGAATTAGAACTGCTAGTTTGCTAGTGATAAGTTAAGCTGGCAAACGTCTTCTGATTACTCAAATGACTTCTCCCAATGTTAAGATGTAGAAGTTATTGAACTTTTGAAATAGATGGAAAACTGCAGCTTAGCATGTCTACAAGGTACTCTTGGGCAATTAACAGGACAAACCTTTGTCGAAGTCTAGCTCATTCTTCCTCAGCTCCGAAAACACCTTCAACTCATTCTTCATCAGCAGCAGCAATTAATAAGCTCAAAATAAGTTGAATACCCACAAGGAATATCAATCATTTAAGATGCAAACGCATCCTTGCAAAAACCGAGCATGGAGAAATGGATTGTGGTGTTTCAGAATTAAAGGTCCATTCCAATCCAACTCGGCCAACATGCCTGCACTTCAGTCAGCTTAAAGTGAAAATGGAGTACGGAAAGCCCATCATCCTACATCATAAAGCTCTGGCTGACTGGGCGCAGGCATGGCCCAAGCCCCTCACCGGGGCCGGGCCAATCCAAAACTCGCATCAGGTGGTTGTTGATGAGGCTGAAGAAGCAAGTATAAAGTGGTCAGAAGAAATTAATCAAATCCTAATAATAATTCAAATACCTAATGTGGCATTGGTTCATACATATTTTTTTCGAGTAAACACTGGTTCATATAAAAATAAACAGCTCTTGGTCATGCATATACGCACTGACATAGACTTTGCCAAAACATTCAACAAAATTTAACCAACTATAAGTTGGACACCATGGGGGTTGCTTACCTGTGTAAACGGCTGGTGAACATGTTCATGATGGATGAAAGGCATCCCAGGGCGCTGACAAGGATACTGAGATGAATGCAAGAACATAGTTGATGAGGAGTGAGCCCCAACTTGATTGGGACTGAATGGTGACATCATAGGCTCTGGATGTCCATACCCAATCCCAGCAGGTGTTGATGGGGCAGCCCATGGCCCAGGAAGATGTTGGGGCATTGGTCGTGGTTGATGTTCAGTAGAAAGTTGAGGTCCATGTGTAGATCCAAGCTGAGGAAACTCAGTGTTGTAATTCAATATAGGGGTATACATTGGCTGAATGGCGTATGACCCTCCATTGAACCCAAAACCAGGATCAAATCTTTGCATGTACCTGAATGCAAGTGAACACATCACAACCTAAGCAAACTAAACATACTGCACTTAACTTCCATAGTCGTGGCTTTCAACTATTCTCGGAACAAATATTAGAAACTTTTAAAAAGAAATACATAAGCATGGCTCTAAAGTTTTGTTACATAGTTCATATACCCGAGGATTTATCTTAATTTCACTCGACGAATGTGCCAGCATACTTTGCATCATCATTTCTGTATACCATGAGGCTGATTAAAGTTTCGGCTTCAATTGACAGCAGAGCTATAATGACTACTACTACTACTTATTTCCGGTCCAACTGTCATCAGTCCCAATTTTACCCCAGGACTATACTGACCAGTTTGTTCAACAATAGATTTCGAAATATCAATGATTTGGCCAAATTATCCACAAGTTAATGTTCATCTCTAAACAACTGCAGATGTTCTCCATTAAAAATCAGCTTTAATCTGTCTGCCATATCTGCATGACTTGTGCCATTACTAACTTTTGCATATGTTGGTAGAACATATTTCAATAACGCCTTGATAAAGGGAAGGACAAGCAGATAACTGCAGTTTATTCTGATCCACTCTGAATTCCGATAAGTTTTTCCATATATCCAGCATGCGCAATGTAGCATCAAAGTGCATACTTTCTTTAAAAAACTGTATAGATAAGTTAAAAACATACTTATAGACAACCTAAAAACACAGTAATTTCTATTAATCACAATCAATGAAATGAGTATCAGACAAACTCCACAGTGAGTCAGTGACTACGTCAAGGGTAAGAGACATCTAAAAAATGGCGTGGATGATTTATAAGACAAGCATGGATTGTTGAAGCATAAGAAATGAGTCTGATGAATAATGACGAAGGAATTTGACATAGAAACAGAGTCAATTAACAAATTTGAATTCGTGGCTGGCTAACTACTAATACACCACAGACTAGACTAGACTAAATCATGTATGCAGGATCCTTGACTACATTGGTCAAGAAGTTTATGGACACCAAGCACGGCCTCAGTAGCAAGTCCCACTAGGTGGAGTTGGTTATATGGATCACACAACGAAAGATACACCTAAAAACATTAAACAAAAATAAATAAATGAAATGCCTACTAACAGTTTCAAAGAGATATCAGTTTGTTCATATCTAAGGCCAAATAACCCCTTTTCTTGAAAGAGGAAACAATGACTTAAGGTCATAAACAATGCCAGCAAGCATGCATATGAAAAAACAAGACATACCTATCATAGCTTCTATCATAATCAGGATCCTTGCGCTCAGTCTCACGATCCCGGAAAATAGCCACCCTACTACCTTGCTTGTACCTAACAGCTGGCTCCTTCTCTGCTGCCCTACTTCTAGCCCTACTGGTATTTGTTGAACACTCAACCAACCCCCTTCCATAGCTTGCATCAGATACAGAAGGAGATTTATCCTCCACCCTAGAAATTCCTAAGGAAACAGGCAAAGAGTTATCGTGCTGCCTTGCTTCACATTCAGGCTTCCCACCAACGTTACCAGTATTGCTGCCAGAATTAAATATCCTAGCACGGGCCTTATTATATTCCTCTTTCCTTTCCTCCACACTTTTAGAGTTGTTACTCTTTACTGAGCTTGAATTTGAGCTATTAGCAACCTGTGAATGTTTCTGCGGCCTCTGTTTGATGGCAACTTTCATAACTGTATTGTCTTCAGAAGGTAATTTCACAGGAATGTCAGCAAGTCGAATAGGAGGAAGCCGACACTCAGAAGTCTTGCGGACAATTATTTTGGAACCAGACCCATCTGGCAAACTATTATCCAGTAAAACCATTGACTGCAGTGAATAATGCTGCGCCACCCGGTGTGCAGCCAACCGTAAATAGGAGGTTGGCAGCTGCTGAAACTCAAGTTGCTGTTGTTTAGGATCCCGGACAAATTTCTCAACATCTTGCTCCATCCTCAAAACTAGAGAAATTGAATTTAACAAACTTTATCAGATGAGACCAACATATCATTCTCAGTTATAACAAAATCACTGAAATTGTCAGCAGCAATAAAACAATGTGCCAAAAAAAAAAAAAAGAATGTACCAACAGAAAGAAACGAAAAACGGACAAAAAAGCATAATACTGTCAGATTTTGAAGGAGCAATATTTTTTTCGTTTATCCTCACGGAAGAAGAATTCGCCCTTTACTTTAAGAGATTAAATTTAAAACCAGGAACACAGACAACACATTGTCACTAAATTCTAAATGGGCAAGTTATTATCATCGACACAAAAAAGTGGTCACCAATGAACATACAGACAGCTTATAATTCTAAAATATAGTCAAGCTACACAAAGACAAGAACCATCCGCCTAAAACATAGACCGTCCCATGAAACCGGCATTCTCATTTATCCACAGAATTTCACATATTACGGCTCCCGTCAAGCCCGAATACATTTTTATAAAACTATCCAAATTCCTACGCATGCGCATATAAAGGTCTTTCTTCGACCAGTACATATGGACGCACAGATTCAATATCTAACCATCTATCTAATGTGCCTACATACACATAACATACTTGATAACCGTTCGCGAGGGTTCTGAATGGCTTCGCGGAGGAACTGATCAACCTGGTTGGTGAGATCCTCCAGAACCTTCTCTCCAGGAGAGGAAGTGGACGCTGACGAAGAAGACGACGCAGTGGCCAGCCCGAAGGCAGCTGACGAAGATGAGGCGTCAGGCACTTCCGCGGGCTTGGAGTCTTTGCTGGAGGAGAGCATCAAGCGCCGCATGGACTCGTCCAAATCGGCGGCTTCCCATGACTCCGGGGCTCCGAGATCCTCTGCAGAGCCCTCCATGGCAAGGGAACAGAAATTTCTAGGGTTAGGGATTCGGGCGATTTATTAAAGAAGAACTGCGTCGGAAAACGGGATCAACGACGAAACCATAGAATCTGGAAGAGCGAATTTCATGGGGAGATTCAATTGAGGGAGAAGGCTGGGAATCGAGGAGCAGAGGATAGTAATCAGAAGAGAGACGGAGGAGGAAGGGAGGCAGATAGGGTTTGACGCCGATGGAGGTTCCAGAGGAATGAGGATGCGTGCGCGAGTTACTCTCACCCACGTGTCCCCGCGGCACGATTTGCTTTTATATGTCTAAACTCAAGCTGCTTGATGCGCCGCACAGTGCCCACAAATGCAGATGCTATCGAGACCCTCTGAAGTGTTTCCAAAGAATAGTTTTTGGTAAAACGAGAAAATTTTTTATATATATTTATTTTATAAATAATAAAAATATTTTAAAATTATAATTTTGTTATAAATATTGTGTGGATGTTTATTTACTCTTTTCTTTTTATTTTCTCCAAGTAACTTTCGTTACCTCTACATCCATTACTCCTCCACTACTCATTCACTCTTGTAACTCACTTCCATTCATATTCATGGGATTGATTATCCACTATTTGACATTTAAGGACAATTGTAACCTATTTGTAAGACTATGCTTATAAATAGGGCATATCATTTGTGTTGTAATGCAAGTGAAGAAATACAAAATGTTCTCTCATTCTCTTGTCTTCATCTTTCTACTTTTGTGGCTTCATTTTAGTTCTATTTCATAAGACGTTATCAGCACGAAGCGCTTTTGTAATCGGAAAGTGTTGTAGTAAGGCTAATCAACTAGAAGGTAAATTTCTATATCACTTCTATAATGGTTTGTTTTATAATTATTCCATCTTCTTATTCATATTGATTTGTTTCATAACTATTCTATTCTCTTGATATTAATTTTCATTTAACTTTTTATATGATAGTATCATCATGTCAAATTTCACGAAACTTGAGTTTATAGCTCTTGACATTACTGGAAAGAATTATTTATCATGGATATTAGATGCGGAAATCCATCTAAATGCCAATGGTCTAGGAGACACAATCAAGAAAGGCAACCAAGCATCCAACCAAGATAAAGCCAAAGCCATGATCTTTTTACGTCACCATTTGCATAAGGGGCTCAAAATTGAATATTTGACCATAAAAGATCCACTTGTTCTTTGAACGATTTAAAGGAGAGGTATGACCACCAGAAAATGTAATCCTTCCTAAGCTCGTTATGACTGGATGCATTTACATTTACAAGACTTTAAATCTGTGATCGAATATAATTTTGCAATGTTTAGAATCAGTTCTCAACTGAAATTATGTGGAGAAAAGATTACTGATGAAGATATGTCAGAAAAAACATTTTCCACATTTCATGCATCCAATGTGCTCCTGCAGCAACAATACTGTGAGAAAGGTTTCAAAAAATATTCTGAATTAATTTCTTGCTTGCTTGTGGCTGAGCAAAATAATGAGCTTTTAATGAGAAATCATGAATCCTGTCCTACGAGCTCCACTCCATTCCCAGAAGCAAATGTAGTGGCAACTGAATCAACCCGTGGCCATGGTCGTGGACGTGGACGTGGACGGGGCCGTGGATGTGGTCGTGGAGGTGGTCGTTCCCACCAAAAGTGGGCAAATAATGATGAGTATCACCAAAAAGAATCTAGTGGAAATAATAATCATGTTGAAAATCTTTGTTATCATTGTGGTGGCAAGGGTCATTGGTCTCGTACCTGTCGTACGCCAAAGCATTTGGTTGACTTCTATCAAGAATCGCTGAAAAATAAGAATAAGAATAAAAATAAAGACAAAGAGCCAAAGGTGGAAACAAATTTTGTAGGAGAAGAAGGTGATTCTGATTATGGCAACATGGATGTTACTCATTTGGATGTTGCTGATTTCTTTGCCGATCCTGATGGAAGAATTGATCACTTAATTGGTGATGGAAGTGTCAAAAAATGAGTCATCTTGATGTAATTGGGTTTTTATAATTGAGTATATTTCATGTTTTGCTTATAAGTGTGCTCTTTCATCTACCACAATAAATTCTATACTTGTAAGGTTGTTACCTCCAAAATAAATATAATTATGAGTTTTTACTCATAATAAAATTTATAATTTTCTTTTATTAATCATGTTTTCTTTTTAATCTTTTTCCTATGTTTTTTTCATGAAGAATGACCATTATTGACCTCAATAATGAAGATTTGTGTCTCGTTGATAGTGCAACAACTCACACAATACTTAGAAATGAGAAATATTTCTCTTCTCTGGTAATGCGAGAAGCCAATGTTCATACTATATCTGGAAGTATAAACCTTACTGAAGGCTCTGGAAGAGCCGATGTATTGCTACCTGAAGGAACAAAATTACATATTGATAATGCATTTTACTCTCCCAAGTCTAATAGAAATTTATTGAGCTTCAAGGATATCCGCAGAAATGGATATCATGTTGAAACAATAAATGAAGGAAATCAAGAATACTTGGTTATTACAAATTTAATTTCTGATAAGAAATGCATTCTAGAAAAATTACCTGCCTTTTCTTCAGGCTTGTACTACACACGTATTAGCACAATTGAAACACATGCTATTGTAAACCAGAAGTTTACAAGTGAGAATAAATTTAACATTTGGCATGACCGATTAGGCCATCCCGGGACTATTATGATGCGAAAAATAATTGAGAATTCATGTGGACATTCACTGAAAAGTCAACAGATTCCACAATCATATGTTTTCTCATGTGCTGCATGTTCTAAAGGAAAGTTAATCATTCAACCATCACCAGCAAAAGTAGAAAGTGAGTCTCTCACATTTCTAGAACGTATACAAGGGGATATTTGTAGGCCAATACACCCACCATGTGGACCATTTAGATATTTTATGGTTTTAATTGATGCGTCAACAAGATGGTCACATGTTTGCTTATTATCCTCTTGTAACCTAGCATTTGCAAGGTTGCTTGCTGAACTAATTAGATTAAGAGCACATTTTCCTGATTATCCAATCAAAAGAATACGTTTGGATAATATTGATGAATTTATTTCGCAAGCTTTCAATGAGTATTGTATGTCTCTTGGAATTGATGTTGAACATCCTGTAGCACATGTTCATACACAAAATGGACTTGCAGAATCATTAATTAAACAACTACAATTAATTGCAAGACCATTACTGATGAGATCAAATCTCCCAAATTCTGCTTGGGGACATGCAGTTTTGTATGCAGCAACATTAATTCATATCAGGCCAACAAGTTATCTCAAGTCCTCCCCTTTACAATTGGTTTTTGGTCAGGAACCTAATATCTCCTATCTAAGAATTTTTAGAAGTGCAGTATATGTTCGTATTGTTCCACCACAACGTACTAAGATGGGTCCCCAAAGAAGGATGGGAATATATGTTGGATATGAATCTCCTTCTATAATAAAATATCTAAACCATCAACAGAGATTTATTTACGGCTCGATTTGCCGATTGCCATTTTGATGAATCAAAATTTTCAACATTAGGGGGAGAAAAGAAGCAGTTGGAAAAAGAGATTAGTTGGAAGGAACTTTCATTATCTCAACTTGATCTTCGCACAAAACAATGTGAATTAGAAGTTCAAAAGATAATTCATTTACAAAGGTTAGCTAATCAGTTGCCAGACACATTTACTGACCCAAAGAAAGTGACCAAATCACATGTTCCAGCTGCTAATGCTCCTATCAAAATTAATGTCCCTGTTGGACAACCTGCTATTGTAAATGAATCTAAAGCACGCATGAAGCGTGGCAGGCCCATTGGTTCCAAAGATAAAAATCCTTGAAAGAGAAAAGGAGCTAAAAATGTAGATGGCTAAGTCGAGGATAATCAAGAAAGAATTGCAATTCAAGAGGAGTCATTAGATAATGCTAATGTCTCAATTCCAAAAGAAACTCAACTACCTGAAATGTGCGAAAATGATGAGATCTCAATAAATTATGTTATGAATGGAATACGATGGGATCGAAATGAAGTCAATGTTGACGATATTTTTGCATATAATATAGCGCTTGATGTGATGAATAATGATGAGGATCATGAACCAAAGTCTATTAGTGAATGTAAACAAAGAAAAGATTGGCCAAAATGGAAAGACGCAATTGAAGCTGAATCGAATTCACTGGAAAAGCGAAAAGTGTTCAGACCTGTAGTCCATACACCTACAGATGTAAAACCAGTCGGATGCAAATGGGTTTTTGTGCGAAAAAGAAATGAAAATAGTGACATTGTAAGACATAAGGCACGGCTTGTTGTCCAAGGATTTACACAAAGACCTGGTATCGATTTTGAAGAAACATACTCACCAGTAGTGGATGCAACTATTTTCCGATATTTAATTAGTCTGGCAGTAAAAGAAGGACTTGATTTGCGTCTGATGGATGTTGTTACAGCCTATTTATACGGCTCACTTGATAATGATATTTATATGAAACTTCCTAAAGGATTCAAGTTGCCGGAAGCATACAATTCAAATTCTCGAGAGCAATACTCAATTAAGTTAAATAAATCTCTATATGGATTGAAGCAATCAGGGCGTATGTGGTATAACCATTTAAACAAATATCTGTTAGATGAGTGATAAAAGAATGATCCAATTTGCCCATGTATTTTTATGAAAAGATCTAAAAATGAGTTTGCGATAATTGCAGTTTATGTTGATGACATAAATAATTAAATATCATTGGAACTCCTGAAGAGCTTGAAAAAGCTATGGGTTACTTAAAGAAAGAATTTGAAATGAAGGACTTGGGAAGAACAAAATTTTGTCTTGGATTGCAAATTGAATATTCAAGAAATGGGATCTTTTTGTATCAAAAAACCTATACAAGAAAGGTCTTAAAGCGTTTTTATATGAATAAATCACATCCATCATGTACTCCGATGGTTGTAAGGTCTTTGGAGAAAGATAAAGATCCTTTTAGACCTCAAGAAAATGATGAAGAACTACTTGATCCAAAAGTACCATACCTTAGTGCAATTAGTGCACTCATGTATCTTGCTAGTCACACACGACGTGATATATCATTTGCTGTTAATCTACTAGCAAGATATAGCTCGTCACCAATATGAAGACATTGGAATGGAGTTAAGCACGTTCTTCGTTACCTCAGGGGTACTATGGACATGGGGTTTTTTTACTCAAATGTACCCAAAACTAACCTCATTGGTTATGCAGATGTTGGATTCTTGTCTGATCCACATGT